ACTGGAATGGGCTCTTTCCAGTCGTGAATTGATTAGAAGAAACTTCGGCATATCTTCCTAGAATCATCTTCGCCCGTAGAACAGTGTATGGCAGATAGCATCAGCAACAGTGGGTGTGAAAATGAAGAAGTGGCTGACTAGAACTCAGCTCGAATTACGAGACGAATATTAATTTTTTTTCATAATCTATCAAGCAATAATTTATTAAAGTAGACCGAAGTGTTTACAAAACCGCTAACAAGAGCGCCTCGATACATAATAATGAAATGAAATCCTTCTCTCTAGCGATCGGCAGGAGCTATCTCCATGATCTTTTACACATGTTTTTAAAAAGATTGAAGCTACTATAAAGTGAAATTGCATGTCAAAAGAGATTCATCTTCTACAGATAACGGCCAAACATCAAGATTATTTTTTAGCATATTTCTAAAACTTCATCCCAAAATATCCCGATAACTCTTTTATAGATTCCGTTTTAACCTCACGAACATCGATGCAACTGTTGGAGAAAAAAGTTCCCGTGAATGATTTTGTAGGAACAGTTCCCAGTGCCAAGAAATATTGCTGCAAGTAAAATAGACAATGGCGTCATTTCGTTGCTATGACAACTCCGATGTCATTAAAACCCTATGATAAATTTTCATCCATATCTAATAAAACTATGGTAGCAATTTTTCCAAATGTTTGTCTATGGCGACGTAGTTATGCTCAAAATTGGGAGGTATTGACCCTGAAAAACTGTTACAGTATCGAGCCACCTTCATATGCCAGAACGGCCCACGTTGTTGCATCGTATGGCCCTCGTTTCTTTTCTACTGTTTCGTAAAAATTTGGGCAAATTGCGAGAATTTTTTGGGCAAATAGTTTACCGCCCCCCCTGGCAAAAAATTGCCCTTACGCCTATGGAGAAAGAAGATGATCGCAGCTTTTGTATTTGCGAAAAGAAAGCATTAATAAACTTCGGGCTTTTACGGGAGGGTCCTGGAAATGATGATACGAGGAGGTGCATCCGGAATACGGGCGTCAAAAGGTGATGAGCCGGAGGGTTTTTCTGTAAATTCTTCTTCAGGATTAAGACTTAATGGCTCGAAGTAATTTGTTCACTTTGTACAAAAACTTGCTCAGGTATTTGACGATGAAAGGTGATTTCCCCTTGATGAAAATATAATCAATATAAATTCGATTACAGTTAACTAAATGACGTCATACGGGCTATATTTAGTTGTCAAAATATCCACACATAAGCGTGAAATACATGACCCATCAAATTGTGTCTTCCTCACACCTGGAAGAAATCTAAACATAGCTTATAAACATTCGTTAAACTTCCCACATTCTGTAATCAAAAGAGTAGGAGGCCCGATTTCTTTTATTGAAACAGATCGAGAAAATTGCCAAAAAAAATTGGAAGTCGATTGTACTTTTTGAGCTTTTCCGACCTTTTTCGATTAGTTATTAACACTTTCAAATACACAGAGAGTCTGATATATTCCTCTCCACTCTTTGTGATCACGATATTTATTCACCTGCACGTTTTCAAGGCGTTGTTAGGTTACGGAGATAACTTACGCGATAAATGGCTTGACGTTGTTTGATCAAAGTTGGTGTTTCAAGTAAGTATGCAAATGTACAATCATCTATTCACTTATCAGTACTGTGAGACGAGACCGACATACATCTTAGCCGTGACTCCAACGGTGATCATATTCAGTGGATTTAGTTACCTAGGTCCGTACTATATAGTGGGTCCGTACTATATAGTGACTGTTTGAGCGCACTAAGAAGGTTATATTTCTCCTAAAATTGACATCGCATTCAACAAGACTGACTAGATTTACGTGGGCATAGCAGATTGCAATGGCTTGAGGTACAACTAATATTACTTTCCTCCCAAGTTTTCTTTTTCCTCAAACCCTGTTACTCGGGCTTACCTTTTTCTGTCGCTGTTGTTTTAACTTTTTTAACTTTTCAAAGGGGCAATCAATTCTAGTCCTAATTCTGGCTCAAGATCTAGGTAAACTTAATTAGAAAATCTTATTTATATTGATAAACAGAACGAACTTGAAATTAAAAATTCGATTGAGCCATAATAGTGGAAATTCAAAACCTGTAATAATGGCATATTTTTTGCGTCTACGCAATATCGTTTTGATTTTTTGAGCTAAGTTTTGAATTCATGGCTAACAATGACAACTAATAGTTATGATTTTTGTTTTAGAAAGCCCAGTAAACTCAAAAGAAGAGGATAAAGCTCTATCCTCCCTTGAGTTAAATCAGGAATCACTCTCACATCATGAATAATTCCCAGTATCATGGTATTCCTGAAGCCATTTTGAATTACGCTTACGTTCTGTTCGGAAAAGCAGCTTTTCGTGAGAGATTACGCGTACGAGGAAAAGGTTAGCTTAATAGGTAGTGATTTATACATTAATTTCAATTTTACACAGTAAACATTGGATTTAATTTTAGCGCAGTTTATGTAAGACCTGTCAGCTGCATTGCGTCACTTAACCGTACTGAAGGATTGTTCCAAAAGTGATACGTAGCAACCGCACAGAAAGACTAGAAACTTGAGACTTAAAAAAGTCTCTTTTTTATATTGGTTTGTTACCTGGCATTAGGGTGATACTCGCATTACAAACCCCTTCAGCTTAATTGTCCTAACCATTGAACCAAGCTACGCAAACCCGCATTTCAACCCGGATTAGTTTTTCGACGCAAAAGTCTAGTTATTGTACCTAATATCAAATTTATCACTGCCTTGACTATACCTGTAGACACTCACCGCGATTCTGATGATATATAAAAGTAAATATAAACAAAAATGGGCTGTGAGTTAATTTTTTCCATCTTGCAGTGTAGCTTTTTATATTGATAATTACCACTGACGTGAAACTTACTTACAGGCATTCAAGTGTTCAAGAGTCTTTCCCCCTTTATAGCACTATATCTACGTAAACAATCGCGAATACGATTAAATAGGCACGTTTGACTATATTGTAAAAAATACTGCATGCAATCATTAACGCTATAAATTAACACTCCTCTCGCGAGGAGATCCTGGCCTTCACATAGTTCCCTGACAATGGCACTAGTACAGCGTTACTTAATGGAAGTCGCGTCAGGAAAGGTCTCTTTTTTTCGTAGTTACGGTTATCTCAGCGTAAAATGTATCCCTGGGGCAAACTTACACATAGTGAAGTTTGCCTCTTGCTTCCCTGAAATTCTCTCGCCAGAAATCGTTTTTTATCCCATGAGCGACATATAAAAATGAAGTCAATAGAAAAAGCAAACAAACAAACACTAAGAATTGCACTAGCAACCAGTACTGAACGAACGCTGAGATCGCGGCGGATAAACTGTTTAAATAAACTATCGTGTTTTCCTGTTTTATTGTTTTTAGTAACTTCATAGACCGGCATAGGTGAACGCAGAGCAATCGACTGTTAACGTAGAGTGTTTTTGGGTGTATTTTCTGCAAAACTGGCAACAACCGTGATGGCTGCTAACAATTAATTGCTATAGAATTGCAAGGAATCAGCTGAACAGTTGTTAAAAAAAAAAGAATAGGAAAAAAAAGAACTTCCTTTAACAGCATTTGCGATGACCGAACGTAACCTGATAAGACTAAATTACTGGTATAGGCTACCGTGATCAAGCCATCTGGACAAGATTGATGCTGCTAGTAATGGCTAGTAAGTTAGTCCGGGTAAGATGAAAAGAAGGAAAAACATACATACTAACGTTGGTGGGTATCTGACATACCGATCACGTTTTCAGGTAGCTGAAAAAGACTGGCGTAAATCGAAATTCTTGCCAAACTGCAGAAAGGATGAAACGGAAGGAAATAAACTGAAATCAACTGATATAGAGGAAAAAAAAAGTACTTACGAGGTGACGTCAAACCGCAAACCACCTCCACTCCCTGAGTTATGAAGCGTAACAAAACGATTCGACCAATGACGTCAATATCCGAATCGCTTGCTCACTTGCATTATTAAACTAGACTTAGTCGGTTCTGGTCGATGGTTGAGACCATCTCAGACTTACATCGGAAATCATGAACAAAAAGTGGCGTTAATTTCATATGAAAAAGCTGCCAAAGGCCAGGATATCAGTTAAAACATGCCGATTTTGTGTATCGAGGGTAAGCAAGAAATGATTTAAAACAAGAATGTTCAACATTCTTCACGGGCAACTAGGGGATCAATTAAGAATATGGTTCGCTGTTAGCGTGTAATCTTCTTTTATGTCATGTTTTTTCTCCTCTTCTTCCATGTATCCGTATGACATCTATGGACAACATGAACAGTCAAGAAGGGCAAATTGAGAGGTAATCCTGGTAAGTCATCATTCGCTTCAAGCTTGTTATTTTTTCCTGTGATGTAAGGACCAGTTCTGTCATGTTGATCGGCATGATCAGTTTTGATAATTTTCCCCCTCAGCGAAAAGTTAAACGAAGCAAAAGTACTTATAAAGTAGGTGACCTTCTCTTGCTTTTTACAAGTCCGCGTAAGCGTTTTGTTCGCTTTACAAGTATAAACTACAGGTACTAGTGTTTGCGTTCACGTAAGATAGTACCGCATCTGAGATTATGTTCTTGTCGGAAGTTTACTTCTCTGTTGTTTTCTTGTATTCAAGCTCATCCTCAATCCATGCGGGAGATTGTTGTGCATCAAAATCAGAACCAAAAGAACTGTTTTGTTAGTTCTGTTTTTATTCCTGTTATTTTTTGGAGCCCTTGAGAATTAACATCATTTTGTTTGCAAACGCTCAATCAAAAATTCCAAAATGATTGGAAGCATCTTCCAGCTAGGTCATGCTCCAAACCAATCTCAGCTTTTAATATTTTAGTTAATTGTGTTTCAGCCCTCTTTTAGTAAACTTATAGCGAATCATGTTGAAGTTTTATAGTTAAATTATTATTTATGGTAATGTGTTATGTACTTGCTACAGATAAATTGAGTTCTTTTGTTCGAGTGATCCTTCAAAATGTCACCATGGAGACAGAGGTCGATAAAGGTGGCTCTCCAACCTGGGAGCAGGAATTTGTCTTGTAAGTAATTAGATTCAGGGAAGATGCTACATTTCGTCCTGTAGTATGCATTGTGTATGCAACAGGCCATGTACATTAGTTCTAGACCTTGGCCAAGTTATTTGAGGGATGATTGGTGCTAATTTAAGCCAGGGTTTAAGAATAATATTATCATGACAACTAATATATGCCATTTACAGGATAAGCCTTAACTCGTCTTTAAAGAACTTGGTTCAAGGAAATTATAAATTCAAATGCAACTGGATCTCTTAGCACTTGAAGAATGGGGTTTGAACTGAGTAGCATTTGCACCTGCAATATTATTGTATTGCCGCAGCAGGGTTTCTCTGTTTTATGATTGGTGAAAAAGCAAAAATATTGTTCCACACATGGGCATTTAAGAGGAAGATGAAGGCTTCCTAGGTAACAGGTTTGCTATATCACAAGTGAACATTTACTGCAAGGGATAATATTTTTTATGCTGGCAAAAAACCCCAAGTAAATTCCAATTAACTTGCTTTATATTAATGCTTGTAAATATAAAGGACAAAATTGACATGAGATGCAAAGTCACTAAGGTTATCATTTCCATGGTTATTTCCCAATGGTGAAGAAATAGCAACAAGAATTTTCAGCACTGTAAACCGCCGATTGTAAGCCTTCTATGTATCTTCGTAAGGGGTTTAGGAGGGCTTTTAAACAGAGGGGCTTTTATATCAGAAGAGACTTATAACTAGAATAGAGGTTTAGCAGGGCTGATCAAAATATGTTTTGCATATATATACTGGTGTTTTACAGTCAAACCTGGTGAAGCATACCCTCCCCCCCCTTCCCACCCCCTGCCAAGATTCCATTAATGAATTTATTGTTCAAAAGTTGAATCCGTTGGTAGTTGTAGATTTCAGATTCATCTCGGCATTCTTTCATTCATATAATGAGCCATGATTTCACATGTGAGGCAGTTATGAAATTTCTACCAGCTCAGTTTCCGTGAATTTGACGTAAATACAGTGGAACCTTGTTAATACAGTCACCGTATTACTGAGGTGACCGGTAATACTAGCTTATAGGTAGATAGGCTTATAATGAGGGTGGGGTGGATTTGGGGGCTTAATGCCGAGGGGGGGGTACTGCCATATATGGGCTATATAGGTATGTGCTACTGTGAAGGGTATGGTTTTCAAGCAGTTTACTCAAGGATAGGGTATATAAATCAGAACATTTGGGTCTAGAATAAGGTATCATTTTTCAGGAAACTGATCAATTGGTTGAAGATTTTATCATTAGAGGTCTTTTCAATGACTAGACTATTCAAAATTATACCCTGTTATGTTTGGGGAAAGTTTCGGTCACTCCAATGATATTAAAATGAAAATTGAGTTCGTTTTAATAAAGCTACTCTAGGATATTCGTTAGTAAGGGGGATTTGGGGAGTTTACTCTAGTATAGGGTAGCAAAATTTAGTTGAATTAGCTCTGATATAGGTTAAGGGTTCCAGGGTCCCAGCTAGCAAGGTCTCCAAGTGCGAACTTTCAGCAGCTTAGAACCTTCATCCGCTGCACATCCCCACCCAGAAATTCCTCCAAAAGAAGGAAAGCACCCCAACAGGGCTTAATAGGATAGGGGGATTTGGGGAGTTTACTCTAGTATAGGGCAGTTTACATTATTCTTGAGTTGATAAGCGGCAGTTTACATTATTCTTGAGTTGATATCACACCAACTGCTCAAAGTGAACCACCTCTGGAAAATTATTGTAGAAAATTTCCTTTGAACTTAAAGAGTGTTCCTTTTATGTTTTGTCTGATTTTGTTTTGAAATTTTGTGGCCCAGAGCCGGTTTCATCTAACCAGATTTCTCCAATTGTGCCATAAATGGGAGGTGTTCTTTAAAGTGGGATGAAAGGCTTTTTACTCACACTTTTGTATCATTTAATTTTACAGTACTTATTTACCGTTGTTGTTTGTTTGGTAATCTTCAGTGAAACAAACCGCTTGGATCAAACACTGTGTTTTCAGTTGTGGGAGAAAGGATTCTTCAAAGACAATCTTTTGGGAAGTGCATGGATTCCTCTGATGCAAATCCACCATTCCAATGAGGGGGGAAGTGGTGCCTGGGTACAATTGAGCAATGAGACACCAAAAGGTCTGGTGTCATCTGGACACTTGATACTGGTAGACAGTCGCTTTGAGCTGCCAACAGGTATGAGTCAACAAAAAAAGGCATGGGTGCAAGCAAATTCTTGTCTTAAATTTGTGAAAATTATGGTCAAGTTTCTTGCCTCTTACATTCCTTATTTGAAGAAATAATTAAAGGCTTAATCTCAGCAAGATCTCATGATACAACCTGTACTTCACCTTGGTAATCTTGCCAAGACATTAAACAACCCTCAGAAGTCATTGGAAAAATCCCGGGAATTTTTTGGTAATGTTCAGAAGTCAATAAAATGCCTTTAGCACAGTGTGGAAGTCATCAGATTCTCTTGAAAATGTGGTTAATATGGATACAAAAATCACACGCATGAGACTCAGCAAGAGTTGGTAGGTGTAATATTGACACTCACCTCCTTGAGCAAACCACAAAATGTAGCAAATACATGTGTGCTTTCCTTGAATATAAATTATTATATTTGTCGCATTGCAGAGTTATCTATTTACCTCATTAATTCAGTATTTCTTTGCTCTCTTTGCTATTCAACTTTATTATGTGTTATGTGTTGACCTTTTAGTGTTTGTTGCTCGACTTGTTTATTCTAGGAAGTGTGTATACTCTAATTTTCATATGTCATCAAGGTCCATCCTAAACCCCTTAGGACTGGTTCACAAACCCAACAAATGCTCACACATCCAATGCAAATGTAAATGCAGTGAGATATGCAAGTGCATTTAATAAGCATCCTGGCAGTGTTTCCTTACTAGTTAGATGAACGCTTTTCACCGTTACGTCAATAACATCCTTGCATTTGTGTTGTTTGTTTTCTTGTGGTTGCATTTTATTTTGCATCAGTCATGTGTGTCCACCCTTGAAATAGTATCCACTTAAGCCCTACTACAGCTGACTCCTGATAACTCGAACCCTTGCTAACTCAAACCTCACGCTAACTCTAACTAAAGTTGATTTCCCCTCGATTTCCTTCATACATTTGTAACTCGAACCCTTGATACCTCCCGCTAACTCAAACTTATTCTTGTTTCCCTTCAGATCATCTCTTTATTTTGCCCTCGATAACTTTAATCATGTCATGTTTTAAATGCATGACAAAAGAGTGTACTGAAGTCTGAATGACTGAATTCAAGACAACCATGTATTAGTTTGTCTCCACTCTTTTTGGTCAGTCCAGTTCAAATTCAGAGTCCATCCCTGTATCTTAGTGAAGCTTTGTTGCTTACTTCCTTTTTCAAAATATCAATATAATACATTTACCTGAGCTTGCTGCCATGAAGTGAAGTGTGCATGATACTTGTATTCCTTACCTATCCCATTTGCTTATTTCCTGTCTTTTGCATCAAACTCCCAAGAACTTAAACTTTTTTAGACTTCCCTAAAAGGTTTTAGTTATCGGTCAAAGTCAACTGTACGTTGTAATAGTGTACAGTAAATGAACACCACTAATTTTTTTGCACACTGTAGAATGAAGCAACAAGCTTGCTTTGTGGGATTTATAGTTACAGTAAGTTCAACATAACAACCCATTTTGCTTTTCTCAGAGCTAAGCGATGAAGAAGTTATTGCTCTCCAGAATAAGCTGGATTCCTTTTACACCATTATGAGTCAAGAAGTGGAAGTCTTGAAGGAGCAATCCAAGAAACTTCAAAGGGAAAAAGATATTAAAACTGGTGAGATAATCACTGTTGTGACGATATTTAACTCCTGACAGTCAAGCTTGGATTTATTTATTACAAAATAATAAAGTACTTTCAAATACTGATAGATATATCTTTGACAAATGAATGCCACACTTGTGCAATGCGAATTAGGAGTTTCACTGCACATCTTAACAAGTCTATATAATTTTTGAATCACAGCTCTTATGATATGATTTAGTTAGGGGCCTGGCAGAAAAATGTTATGATAATATTAATAATAATAGCGGTTGTTCTTATAATTCGAATTTTGTGTACCCCTCAATGCATTTACAAAATTGTCTAAAATGTCACTAATTTAGATGTTACTAATATTAAATGTACATGAAATTATCTATATTTATCTGAAATTAATAGTAATAATGATAATAAGAATAATAATATTAATAATAAGAATAATAATTATAGAGAAAAATAAAAATAAAATAAAACTTGTTCTATGGTCCATAACAGGCAACTAACAAAATGCCTGTTTGAACAGAAAAGTTTTTAAATTAGACTTAAATGACACAAGAGGACATGAGTTACGGATATGGCTTGGTAGTTGATTCCACAACCTCGGTGCAGCAATTGAAAAGGCTCTATCTCCATATGCACTAAGGTTAGATCTAGGAATTCTGAGAAGGTTTTTAGAGGCTGATCTAAGTGACCTTGTTGGAGCATAAGGTGTTAATAGAATTCTGTAGTCTCTGTAGTTTGTTAATATCTCCTCTGCTGGTAAACCGTACAAGAAGCTATTACAATAGTCTAGTCTGGATGAGATGAATGTGTGAACAAGGTACTCAGTGCTTGTGTGATCTAAGTATTTCCTAACCCTGCCTGGGGGGACAAAATGTAATAAACAAACTGTTCATATTTTTACAAAAAAGGACAATCATGTCCTAGGCAAAGTTCTAATATTTTTTATTTGAAAAATGCCGGACAATGTGGTTGACAATAATTTTTAGGAACTTGGGGTGGGAAGCCGCCTGAGAAGCAGACATTTGCTTACCACCTCTGGTTTCCCTGGAAATGACGTCTGAGGTACAAAACTAGTGCAGAAATTACATACTGATGATCGACGTCTCACTATATAGATGTGGGTAGTGCTTCTGATTGGCTGAAGCAAATTTCCCTTGCATCACAACCTACCAAAAGCAGACACGCCATCAATATGGAATTTCTGCACCCATTTCTCAGATATCTTTTCACTGGCAAACCAGTGCTGGTGTCGTGAAATGTCCGCTGTTTTCTTGGGCTAGGAGGGAAGGTGGATACTCTCAACGAGATACTGGTTTCATAACCCTTCTCCTTCCCCTGCCCGGTATTAAAAAATCCTGCCTAAGCTCCTTAATACTGATATTAATATCTATAACAGTAAATGTATAATAAGATTGAGATCTTGTGAAACAAAAAGAATCAGTGGTGCAAGAAACGGGTGTTTGGAATAAGGCCCTGTGTTAACACAAAGTAAATGGTAAGGACAATCTAGCACTTTATCAGAAGTGTCCTGACACTTTAAATAGGGACTCCTTTAATTATAAAACTGAAGGGGTACTGAGTGCGTATAAAACTGAACAATGTCTTTTTTATTCTCTTCTTTGTAACCAGTAAGTGATGAATTAGACAGTGCTTACTACACAAGTGATGCTGCTCTCTACAACCCCTTTCTGGAGTCAGACCCAGAGTCAGACGACAGAGATTCAGATGATGTTGCTGATGGACAGATCAGTGACAGTGAAGCAGACAGAGTTATGATCAACTACACAGACCATTTTGATGGAAGCATAGGTCGCACTTCAGATGACATACTTGAAGACCTTGAAGAAAAGGAACTAGAAGACAGCGTCATGATGCTTGTTTCTGAGTTGCCTGAGAGTGAACAAGGAGATGATGAAATGTGGATTGAAGATGAGGAGACTGTGGAGGTAAGATTTGTGTTTGAAACTTTAAATGAATAATAATATTGTTCGGTGACAGAGTAATACTGATGTTTGTTTTTTATTGTTGTCTGGCATTTAGTCAAATGCTGTTTGCTTGTAGTCTTGTTTTCAATATTATTTTTTTACTATAATAATGAGTCAAGAAAAAAGACAGTCAGGTATTTAGACAGAAACAAAGAGAGATTGTCGTAGGGTAGTTTATCAGTGAAAAATCAGACCGAGTTTAAAATGTTGGCAGTGATGAGTCTGTAGGAAAGTTAACCGGCAGTCTGTCAGAGAGACTGTTTTGTCAATTTGCCAGCAACTTGTAAATCTATCAAACTTTTTAGAACTCTAGTTCACTATTAGTTAATCAATTTAGATTCGAAGTTGTTGTTTGAGTAAAATTTAACTTCATATTGAGGCATAGAGATCAGAGTTGTCATTAAGATGTCAAGTGACTGGGCAAAATATACAACAAGTAGGGATCTTATTTGGTTTTATACAACTTAACAACAACAACAGCAACAACAACAACAATGTTTATTGTGCTCTTGACACAAAGGTGTAGAGTAATGAAAAGGAAATAATTGTGAAAGATTAAGAGAGCACAGCCACTCATAAATAGCCAAAGCTAATTGTGCTGAGTGGCTGGGCCATGCGGAAAAGTAATGAGGTATTTAAGTTCTTATAAATAATCAAATGCACACAAAAACACACAAAGAAAAAATATTTAAGACAGTTGTGGATCCAGGGAGGGGACCAAACTGAGGCCCGTTAGGGCCAAAAAAACAACTCACCAATTTTAGATCTTCTTTAACCCATTCACTCCTGGAGATTTTGCCGAAAAACGCATTTTGAAGCTAGTCGAGTGGTTTTTTGGTCACTGTCGTGCTATAAAGAGCTAAAACTTACCACAAACCTATTTACAGGTGGTACACTTCACAGCCTTCTGATCCAGATGTTTGGACGTGGGCAGGAAGCAAAATTTTTTTGGGTTTAAAAGTGACACAGCAGTCTTGACTTTTACTTTTCGCTTTCTGTCCTTCCCTCTTTTTTCACTTTTCTTGCCTCATTTTTTTTCTCTTGCTGGACATTTAGTAGGCTTCATTTCGGTGGGAAGAGTTTTTAGGAAAGCTTTTAGGATCTTAGGATTAGGTGAAAGGAAAGGTAGGTGGGCAATGGAACAAGATTTTCATGGAGATTTACAGGTCAATCTTACATGGTTTTTTGCCTCTTTCTCTGGTGTCCTTGACTGAATTGTGCTCATTCTGGTATGGTTTGAAAGATCTCTTTACTCTGCATAAGTTAGCGGGCAAAGTTGTCCTTGACCGTTAAAACTGATGATGTCACAAGGGGTAGAAAGGACGTGGATCTGCATGGGCGGTTATGGGCAGTTCAGGGGCAAATGGGTTAAATAGCATTCCAGAGTTTAGCCCCACTAAAATGGATATTAAATTTCCTGTAATTTATTTTGTCACTCTCACAGCAGCCAGTGGAAACCCCTGGCTCCCAGCCCTTAATGACAGTCCTGAATCATTCCCATCAAGGGAGATTTACATTAAACATAATTCATTACCAGTTACCCAGTAGTTCAATCATTGCTATCATATTTGACTGTATTATAATATTATTGAAAAGAGAATAGTCAGTTACTAACACCGTCCTTGATCTGCTTAATTCTTCATATCCTACTCAACCTCATTCATTAATTTCTTTATTATTCATTCAAAATAATTCCTAGTTTAAAAACATAGTGAAAACATGCTTACCTGCATTGATGTTAAGTTCATCTTCGATAGTGTACATTTAGGTTTGTCCAGCTCCGCAAATATTCTCCATATAGCAGATGTCGCCCTCCGAGTTGCCTTCTTGCTGTTTTTGTTATGTTTTTAGCTATTATTTCGCCTAGTTCCAGCTGTGGTTCTTACTCTTGAAACGATTGAAGTGTCTGCCATTTTTTTTTACAACCAAAACAACTCAACCTCGTGCCCAGGTCTTCTCGGTAACTGTCCCTTAACCTGTAGCGGGCTGCATTTTTGATGTCATTTCCTCGTTAAACACAAAATTCTTCCACATTATTTTGGTCATCAGTAACTGGTTATGGTGAGTTATGCATGTGCTTTTAGCCAATCAGAATTGTGGAAATATTTTGAATAAATAATAAGTTAATTTATTATCAAATCATTAATTAAACCAGTAGAGTGCATTTTATCCTAGCTTTCCTATTAACATTCGACCAAATTGATTATTAGAAAGGAAGGGAATAAAGCTTACTTTTGCCTGTCTTGTGTACATTATTTTACTGTTTTAAATGGTTAATCTCTTTAGTTGATACCAGACTTATTTGACTTGGCAGGCTGCAGCTGGTTAATAATACCCCAAGCATTTATTAAACCATACTTGTGTTTTACAAATACTGTAAACTGCTGCTTATAAGCCCTGGGGTCATGCATCTTTGTAAGGGGTTTTAGGTGGACACATAAACTGAGGGGCTATTTCCAAGAGGGGCTTAAAACCAGATAAATTATGCACTTTGAAACGTATAATCTATGGCAGTGCAGATCAAACTACATTTTGCATTGACTGTTTTTCAATATTAGACTTCAAAATGTCATAATAAATCAGTGGAATTCATTTCAATACAAGCTAGAGGTCCAAAGTTAAACACCATCCCATTTCCACTGCCTTATCTCCATGTTTAAGAAAAAAGGAATTTGTGGGAACTAAAATGGTGTCAAAAACAGCGGATCCTTTAAGAGACATTTACTCCCACCTAATACACTAAAAAATAAGAAAGAAAAAAAAAGGAAATAACAAAACTGGCTACAACTTTAGAGGGGCTGATTTTCGCATACCCAGATTTCATTTGATAACCTATGGGAAATGCTCATTGTGATATCTAGGACCTAAATTATGGACTAGCCTGCTGAGCAAGCTAAGAAATCTACCATCGCTGCAATCATTTAAACTACAGACCTGTCTTGTCAATCACCGGGGGTGGGGGGGGGGGTACTCCCCTATAGAAATGACGTGGGTGCTCATGATACGTTTTAGGGGTTTAAATTTGTGGACTGGTATGGCTTAGGGTTCTAAAATAACTGCTGCCTGAGTTGTCTCAGTAAGATTTATGACAATACTTTCAAAAAGTCCTTGAGAAGAAAGTGTTCGAAAGTTATCTTTATTACTATTAAATTAATTTGCAGTGCCAGTTATATACTTTGTTGTTGTTGAATTGGTACCTCTTAGGGGTGGAAATGAATTTGGAACACGTCCACAAAACAAGATTCCGGTACCTTTTAGGGGTGTTATGGAAATTTTTCCGACGAGCGCGCTCGTCACTTTTATAGGGGGGTACCCCTCCCAGGTTCAGTCCTTCACTTAAGTTAAAGTCTGACTGTGAGAATAACCGACACACAAGCTGACCTAATTGCTTTTTTTATTGAACATTCGAGTTGTTGTGAGTAATTGAATCATCTTTAATATTGTAAATCATTTTCATCATTTTGTAATTCACAGTATAATTTTATTGTTAATCATAGCTATAACAAAAATTCTTAAATCTGATTGCCTATCAACTGTCCTGATTTCAACCTTAATAGGACAGTTAAACAGCATAGTACGCGTCATGCCCAAGTAATTAGACAGTACGCGCCATCCCGCGCGCGCTTAAATGGCTTTTTTTTTCACTGCTAGCAAACAAAATCTCGGAGTTTCTTGTGTTTTGATTAAAAAAAGAGCCTAATATATCACAAATTTTGTTGAAGTTATGATTAATTGGTAACAGAACTTCGTGTCGTCCAATTCGGTCTGTAATCATACTCGTGATTAAACAAATCGGACTCCCGCTACGCGGTCGTCTGATTTTGTTAATCACTCGGATGATTACAGACTGAATTGGACTCCACTCAGTCCCTGGGGGCCGGACTCAGTCCTATTACCATTACATATAATGTCCAATAGGCTAGTTTTATAGATGATAATGTTTATCTAGGCTGGCTTCTTGAATTAGTTGTATTTCAGTTTCCCCAATAAGTAGGGTTTTTACCCTCGGTTTAATACTATATTGGCACTTCAATAAAGTCATGATGAGTCATGATGATGATACAGTGATTTAAGTTCCCGTTTACATGTAAATCATTTGAAAAAAGTTCTAACCCATTGGACACATTCCGGGAGAAAAGCAAAGGAAAGAGTGCACATCAAGAGTTCAAACTGGTTTGATAAAGAGGATCTGGTTTGAAAAAAAAAATAAAATAAAACATGAAAGGAAGTGATTCTACCAAGAAATCGTGCTAATAATTCCATTGGTACCCAGATCTCTTTCAGGCCCCGCCAATTTTCTTCCGGTCGTATGTACTGTGGTGCTGCTGTGGTGACTTCAAATGCCATGAGTCACACAGCATTTTACCTTCACAACTTAAAAGTTTCCTTAGGGGGCTTTCATTTGGATAACATTTTGAATGTTTAAGCCGTGGACCCTTCTTTTTGGTCAAGGAGAAAACTCCTCTGAACATACCATGTCTGTGAATTATTCGGACTTAAACTTCCCGTTCGTTCTGTATGTTCTGTCTCAGTGATTTTACTTTAATTTAAGCTTAAGTTTAATTTAACAGAAGTTTCTGAGATCCTCATCTTCAAAGAACATTTTCGTTTTCCAGAGACTGTGAACAGTGTGAAGATCGTAGTGCCGAGTTTTATTGTGACGAGTGCAAACTGAGATATTGTCCGCGATGTCGCTTCATCTTTCACTCAAAGGTAGACGACACGACAAATGGTGCTCTTTTTTCGTTGAAACTATGCTATTTTCGGTTGTGGTTTACTAAGAGCTTCATTTGGCTGTTAATTTTTTTAAAATTCTACTCTCAGTTTGAAAAAATTATAACATTTTCTCTTAGGGAAAGTTACGACAGCATAAAATCGAATCTGTAGTCGTCCATCTTTGCGAGTCATGCCTGACAGAAACGAAGCAATTTGATTGCGAGGTTTGCGGTTTAGGTAAGTGCTTATAGGTGATCGTAAATAATAATGTTGCAGAAGAGTTCCGTAGTCGACATTTTCTGTATTCCTATTCATCTGTAACATTATCTTTTCCTATTTGAACAACACAAGAGGTAATGAAATTTATATCATAGTACGAGTGCATTCTAGAGGAATCCCCTTTAATTTATTGCGTGACATTGTTTATCTTGTCAATGCGTTTCGTCTGGAAATGTACTCGCAGTTTTTTCCTGTTAACTCAGTCAAAGAAACTGTTGTTCTGTAGTTGTCTTACCCATCAGAGTCTGTCTTGCAATTTTTGCAAGCATTTCTTCTAGAGTTTTAATTTACTTTCCAAATACGAAATATAATTTTCAAATAACGGTAATGATAGCGTATTGTTTATTGTTTAAATCAGCAAATTCAAAAAATTGCCAGACTTGTTTGAAACACATCTAAATGGCTTTTGGCGTGTAGTCAAGTTCCCTGACTTATTTGCTTGCCAGTGCTGATTTGACCTTGAAAATGTTTTTATGATTGTGCTACGCTTAGCACAAGAGCATTGAACATAAGAGGACTTGAAGCGATAACTGGCCATGACTAGTTGCTTTCATTTAAAATGCATCTAGTTTTTGACTGCCCCAGCGTTCTATTATAATTTTTATTGAGAATGGGTAGCCCCTTAAAGGAGGTGTTTCTCTTCCAGGCTAAGTTTAGGATACAATGGTAGCACAATAGTGAATACATTGTAGAGAATTAAAAGACCTTTGGATTTTAGTTAATTATTCCACATGCCTCTTGGTATGTATTTACTGAACTTCTCTTTTGTTTCTCTGTTGCAGGATTTTGTGATCCTTGCTGGTACCCGTGGCATGCAAAAGGAACACTTCAGCAACATCACCAAATATCTGTTGTTTCTAAGGCTAATGAGAGATCAAAAGAACCACAAATACATGAAGAGATACCTGTGATTAACAAAGTGAAGTGGAAGCCACCACATGCAGAAAATAGAAGTGTTTCCAAAGAGGTGTTTACATCTGCGAAGTTAATAAAAAGCTGATTTCAACTGTTTATCCACTTGAGAAAGGCAACTTCTAGGGGAGCCTTGAATGAATTTTAAGAGAAGTTTTACAATACAACAGTATTGTAAAAGGCAGCTAATGGAACGTGACGCAATTGGCCTCTCGGGGCATCTCTATGTGATGCAATGTACTTTCGACCCGTTTATCAATTGTTACATTGTAGCACTTGTCATCACTGTGTGGAAGCAAATTAGTTCACCTTTTCAAAATGGCTAAGCTAGTGAAGGCTACATTCTTGTCTCTTTTGCTGTGACACATAGCTTATTATAAGTATGGTACAATCCTTCTAATTGGCTTAGTACCTTAACATTGTCTAGCCATACATAAATTGTGGTCAGAAGTTCTAAGTCACACTTTTGCTTATGCCAAGTCATTCGCTGTTTTCAACGGAACAGTGACATTAATACGTTTTTTTTTTAGAATGGTAGTCAGTACTTACCAACTAAAGATACTGTAGCAGATCAGCTAGTGTAGCGAGAAATAACCTGTTTAGGCAGTTCTGACACAACGGGTGCTTGCAGCACGTCAGACTGCTCTTGTTTAGTCTTCAATTGACTATTGTATTCACTTGCCTTTGTAAATTAGGTTTGTCCGTTTGTTTGGATTATATTATCATTAAAATTAAATCTGATAGTTTAGTGCTGATTTGCTATTAACAAAACCATTATTGTTTTAGTTGGAGTTGTGTGGTCTGTTTCAGTGATATCTGAAGGAAATACTACATTCAAAAATACTAATTTGGGTCATTACATCTCACTCTTGTCAGGAATCAATTTAATAACAATACTGAGAGATGAATTAAAAATGACATACATTTGAAAAAAGTACAATTGTTACATTTCAGTGCAAAAAACTGTCATGTCATTGTTTACAGTTTGTACTATCATTGTAGGTTAGTATTGTTTAGAGTTGAATCTCTGACTTAAAGTCATTATCATACTCTCATCGTCATAGCTGTCAACTATCACTACAACCATCATCATCATCCATGATCTTTCCATTAATAAAAAGAATTAATGTACTGATCTGATCCTTGAAACTCTCCTTGTTCCCCTCTTTAAACATCAGTCACTGATCAAATTGATTTACTGGGATTTTTAGGTTGATGTGGGTACTGAAATCATCGATGATGGCATTGATGTGCATGTCACTAACTATACAGAACCTACAGACCATGAAATAGAAACATCCAAGAAACCTAAAGAAGGAAGTAGGACTGATGATGACAGTGATGTTGAAAAAAGTGGACCTCTCCAGCGAAAGGGAGGCTTTCGAAAATCTCCTTCATCATCTCGGAAATCATCATGGTAAGCACAAGAACTTTCTTCACCATATTCCATCTATGTGTTCACATGCTTCACATAGCATCACATCAGCTGATGATCATTGGCTTCCTATCAATGACAGAAGAGAATTGAACCTCCTGAAATCAAGCTTTAAAGCTTTGCGTAACACTGAGACTTGGCCAGATTATCTTAAAATAATAAAACAGGAATGCCCCAAGGAACTGTGCTCAAGCAATTCAATTATTAGATTAGTGGTCCCGACCGAAAACGGCACTTTCCAAGATAATGCGTTGAATTTAATAATCTACCAGAAACTATTAGAAACTGTAATGATTACAGAACCTTTTAAGACTTTCAAGGAATTTTTTAAGTAACAGAGTACAGAGTGATTAGTTAGTTTTACTTTAATTGGATTCTGTTAATCCTGCTTCTACTTTTAATTGTATATAATTGCATAATTTGTAAATAACTTAATTTGATTTATTTTGTAATTGTTATTGATGTAATTTAACAGGGAAGAGCCACCCAGTGGAGCTGTTAATAAACCATTATTATTATTATTATTATTATTATTAGAAGTCATGATAAATTGCTATTTCTCCATTTTCACATAGACCATAATGCACCTCTCTTACCCCCCCCAAAATGTTGCGTAACCATTGTTTCTAGTTTCTCCAAATATTTCTCATTATTTACTCCTATCTCCTCAGTAATACAGCCATCATAAGGGAAATCAAAGACAATGGTTATGCAAAATTTTTGGGGTGGCGGGGGGGGGGGTAAATAAGGTGAATTGTGGCCTATGAGAAAATGTTGAATCAGCTGTACTAATGTACGCTATTAGTAAGGTACTGTTTAATGATGACAACTATTGTTGTTTTCTGTCAGGAATGAAAAAACTAAAGCACTTCTTGACTTAAGAGAAGATTCAAGCTCCATAATGAAAAAGAGAAGGCCTTCAATACCTTTTGTTGTAAGTTACTTGGAGACACGTGCAATTTTTGCAATTATTAATTTTGTTGCTGAAATAACTATTTAACATGAAACTTTATCATATGAAATCAGAAATGAAGGAAAGAGCATGTTTAAATATTATTAGCAGTAATTTCCAATCAACTGCTCCCCTAAGTCAACATTAACACTAACTTCTCCCTTAGGGCAAAATTGTGACTTAGGGGAGGGATAGGTGGTCAGTTACCCAGAAACCTTGATTGATCTGTAACCTCAATTTTCACACCAGAGCTGACAGTGGTAAGATTTTGTGCAGGAGTGGCTTTTGATTGAAAGGCTTTGTTTTAAGACCTTGCCACATCCCCCCACCCTGTTTGATATTAACCCATTCACCCCTGAACCGCCCGTGCGGATCCACGTCCTTTTTACTCCTTGTGATGTCATCAGTTTTAACGGTCAAGGACAACTTTGTCCGCTAACTTGTGCAGAGTGAAGAGATCTTTCAAACCATACCAGAATGAGCACAATTCAGTCAAGGACACTGGAGAAAAAGGCAAAAAAACCATGTAAGATTGACCTGTAAATCTCCATGAAAATCTTGTTCCATTGCCCACCTACCTTTCCTTTCACCTAATCCTAAGATCTTAAAAGCTTTCCTAAACACTCTTCCCACCGAAATGAAGCCTACTAAATGCCCAGCAAGAGAAAAAAAAAAATGAGGCAAGAAAAGCGAAAAAAAAGGGAAGGAGAGAAAGTGAAAAGTAAAAGTCAAGACTGCTGTGTCACTTTTAACCCCAAAATCGAATTTTGCTTTCTGCGTATGCGCGAACTACGCAAGCTGATATTTTGCATCTGGATCAGAAGGCCGTGAAGTGTACGACCTGTAAACAGGTTTGTGGTAAGTTTTAGCTCTTTATAGCATGACAGTGACCAGAAAACCACTCAACTAGCTTCAAAATGCGTTTTTCGGCAAAATCTCCAGGAGCGAATGGGTTAAAAGAAACACATGTTATATTACTGTGAGAAAAAAGAGAGAAAAAAAAAATTTCATAACAGAACATCTGAGAGCTGTGGTTCACAACTTGGGAGAGATTCTACCATGGTTTGCAAGTTTCAAAGTTTACTCATAAATTTGTACAAGGATTTGAGTGGATGACTAGCACTACCGAAGATTGACTAGGTGGGAAGGATTTTTGTGAACACAAATCCTTGTTAATTCTGGTCCTTTATGGCAGTAGCTACTTTTGAGATTTAAAGGCCTGAAAATTGACACTAATAAGAGGCCCTGCCAGGGTAAATTCCGACAAGCGACATGGCCCAAAAATTAGCGACAGCACGACTAAAATGAAATCGCGACAAGAGACAACCTCCCTTGGCCAAATTGTGACAGTGACGGAAAAGCCGACAATAAGCGACAAGCATTTTATGAACACTGACACGAGACGTTTTAAAATTCAGACGGGCGACATGGGAGCCCCCCCTGGCAGGGCCTCTAATAAGCTTATTCTTATAGTGCTTTCTATTCCTAGTAGACAAAATTATAAACAAATTTTTTTCATGAACTGAAAGTTGATCATGTGATCACACGACCAGCAGTTTTGCTAAGGGCCTATCACCTTTATAAACTAACCTTTGTAAATGGAAATGGTCATGCAGAAACTGATTGATTTAGCATTGATATTATCCATGTTGGTGTAAAAATTTGTAAAAACAATTGACTCACCCCATAGAAAAGCTGCAATCGTCTTTAATAATGAAATAGTTTTTGAGGGTACACACTCAGGTTTCAAGACAGTTTTTGGAGGTTTCAAATGTTTGTGACCCAGATTCAAAAGGTTAACATTTGACAACAGGCTACTATCTGTGGATATCTTATGCTGGGCATGCCAACGAAAAAGCATCCCTGTCAGAAATATAAAGTCCTCCAGACTTGACATCGCAAAGCTTTAAATTCTTGATTAACCTCTGTGTATATTAATCTCATTTTCCAATCTAAATTTTCAGCAGCCAAGATCAAGCACGATAAGGAAACAGATAAGGAAACCCCACATGATGATGTCACAGAGGGCACATTTGAATGACGAGGAGTTGGTAATAAAGTGAAACATTATTTAAGTTACAGTGTAATGAGCCTGTATTGAGCAGACTCCCTCCTTGGCAGGGTTCTGACTCCTAGCAACCCTCCTCCACCAGGAGGGGTTGGAGAGAACCCTAGCTGGGAACGAGGTTGGCAGACCCCATGTTAAAAAATTATAGATGCCTATGTAAATATTGTCATTACAATATTTTTTTTATAAAGTCAACCTGTTACGGCAAATTAAAAGTGCACCTGTTATTAGGCAGACACTAGTAATAAGTTAGGGGTCCAGGTGGGTGACGTCTTGTTACAGGTTGCCCTGTATTCCCAGAAAATATACACACCTTCTCGATGAATTGAAGGCCTTTTCAATTTATTTGCCCCTATGCCCCCTTCCCTGCAGTTTTCATAACTAGTTATGGCTGCAGCAGTTACACCCACAGCCACTCTTTTGGATATCACTGGTTACAATGACACTTCCACCAGGGGAATTGGTATCATATGGTTTTGCGAGTGAAATCACTCCACCACACTGGTATATTACTTTTTAGTGTTTGAACAATCATTATTGGCTGTAAAATACATTTGAAACTGTATTGCCGGGTTCTGTTAATTTACTTAGTAATGATAATAATATTGTTTCTTCAAGAAACTACACGTTTACAAGAAGTCTCTTCAGGCACTTATCTACCCCATCTCAGGTAAATATTAACAGCTGTAAAAGCTAGCAGATAATCTGCACACACCTCAGACTAGCCGCACCTCAAGTTTTCGATCTAACATATGCCTTTTGGATCTCCACCATTTATGGATTAAAAATAACTGTGTTAGAAATAGTTTTCATAAATCCTGGTAATTTAGTCAACTAAGACAGTGGCTTGCTGCTAAATTTAGGACATTTTTATTATTTTTTATATAGGTGAAGACCTAGGTAAAGAAGCAAATGGACTCCTTACAAGCAAGTTATGCAATAATTTGTTTTGTTACTAATGTGGGTCAATATAATGTGATATCTTTCAGACACCACACCTCACAAATTTGAGATCTGGTCAACTCAGGTGCCAGCATACTGTTATGAGTGTGAAGGTCTCCTCTGGGGATTGGCCAGACAAGGACTTAAATGCAAAGGTGACCACCATCTGATAGAAAATAAGAATTATTAGCTTATTATTAGCCAGGAAGACAGTCAGCCTTAGTAAGCCAGTTGGGTATAGACTGAGCCAGACATCAACATAATATGCACAGATAGCTGCACTGCTGAACTTTCTGTCTGTCACACAATCATTCACAGACACACTGATTGTCTGAGCATGACACACCAGCTATGGTGTGTCAGGTAGATGATGGCCACTCAAGGTAGTTGTTAATCTGCCAGCCACTGTGACAAGGATGTGATTCCCTAATGCCACATCTACACTTGTTGCTTGTATGTTATTCTGCAAGAACCCTTCCTGTCTTAGGACTTGCTAACAGAGAGCGTGCTTACAGGATCTTGAGCTGAGGCATGAGCAGTGCGAGCCATGCATGTGGTCCATGACACTCTGAAGACTGACAGTCATGTATATTAGTCATTCAGTAGCAGTTGTTGCAGTTGATGTTTAAGTTTGTACTCTCTTATTTAGACACCTCTTTGGTTGTTACTCATTTTGTAACACTACCCATGTTCTCACTAATTTTCAGAGTGTGGAGTCAAGTGCCATGAGAGATGTAAAGATCTTCTGAATGCAGATTGTTTACAACGTAAGTTTAAGATCGTCTTTATCATGATATTCAACGTGATATCTATTCATGCTTCTGAAGCAGTTATGTGGGAAACTGAAGAAAATAGATGGTGTTGTTATTGCTTCATTTTTCAATCAAAGATGCTGCTTGATAGCAGTGGTAGTCTCTTTCCTGCAGGCAAATATAACAGCTAACCTTGTGACCCCATATTACATTTAAACTCAAAGAAGAATTTTTAAAATATCCCTTGTTCTATCCACCTATAACCTTATTCATCTTTTACAGGTGCTGCTGAGAAATCAGCTAAGCATGGTACAGATGACAAAACACACTCCATTATTGTGGCAGCTATGAAGAAAAGAATGGAAAACAGGGAAGCAACAAGACCTGACATATTTGACCTCATATGGTTAGCATCAGGATTTGTGTATTTTTTAGAATATTAGATTAAAAATTACAAGGCTAATTAAAGGTTAAGTTACATTGTAAGATCAGATGCTAGCAGCAGGCTGTTGACAAATGTACTTGCAACTGATCTCCACAACCAACCAGCAGGCCATCATTGCCTGCTACCAGGTATTTTTTTTCAGTTTCCTAGGTCTTTTGTTATCATGCTCCATTGTGATCTGAGAGAGCTTGTTCCACTGTACTTGGCATTCTTAGCCAGGATAACATGACCTTTAAAAGTAAGTCCAGGGGCGCTTTCCATTTAGGCAAAATTTCTGGCTCGGCCGGTTTAAATGCAAATGGAATGCGTGGTTAGACTGAAAATTTTACAGAACAAACAGACGGCCTTCTGAGGTATTCCACTTTTACCGTTTCTATGGGTTGGAACAGAAATTCCTGTTCCATTTGCGCAATTCTGTTTTTCCTAACCTTGTTCACAGGCAGTCACAGTTTTTCTCTTCATTTCTAATTGGCATCTGCCTCTCTGATGCTAGAATGCTGAGGGGATTTTCACATAAAACTTCTTGTCGTTTGCTGGCAAAAACATTAAAAGCAAGAATTTTGTAATGGCAGATCAATTATTTTCGCTTTTGGATAATGTTTCAATTTCTTCGTCAGCAGTGCTGCAACATCCGTTTTGTTGGATTTTTGGTTCATGCAAGAAATGAGATTGCAAACGAGGCTCTATGGCTGGCCATGGAAAGGCTTTCCATTTAACCTGGAATGTTTCCGGAATTTCCAACTGGAAATTTTGTCTAAGTGGAAGGCGCCCCAGGTGTTCGATTTCTTACAGTGATCAAATGGGACTGTTGTAATATCCCACAGACTTTCCAACCACTCAAAATGTCGCTGTAATGGTCAGCTCAGTGAAACTAGCAGAATACGATGATTTAGATCCATCTGAGGCAATTTTGCAAAGTTTTGACCTCTTCTTATACAATACCTCATAGGTAGAGCTAAAAACATCAGCTTTTGAATCTTTTTACAGTGGAAATTAACTTTGTTAACTGTGCTGATAAAACATAATTTAATTTGTGCCCTGTAATATGTGCATCTGTGATCAGAGAAAAATATAATTAATGACATCTTTGTTCTCCCTTTGTTGAAATATTATTATTTTTTGTAATTTATTATTTTCTGAACAATATTTTAGTGATGTCTTTTACATGGAGCCTAAGACGCATGCTGGACACATGAAAGCTGTCAAAAAGCTAATCTGGGAGGGGACTTCAAAGTGGTCAGCAAAAGTTCTTATCACAGGTAAATTAAACTGGACTGTTATGGAATGTTATTAAAACTTCCCTAGCTCATGTGGTGGGATTTTCCACTGCCAGTGTTAACTTTGATATAACATAAGTGATAATACAATTAACCAACATTGTAACTATTCCCTGACACTGTACCCTTTTAGTCATCTTCCTAGCACACTTGTTCATGATACAATCATGTGGACAGGAAGGGCTCACTGACAATCACACTACATTGCTCTCTTTCATTTTCCTAACCCTTTAAACCCCATTATCAACGTACAAATTCCCAAGACTGTTCTCTGTACATTGCCTGAAAGAATTGGGTGAGAGAATTTGATAAAAGATCTAAACATTTTCCCTTTGATGATTATTTTAGATCAATTTAGGTTTATGGGAAACTGTCCACCTACCCCTCCCCTAAGCTAACATTAACACTTACTTCTCACTTAGAGCAAAATGTTGGCTTAGGGGAGGGATAGGTGGTCAGTTTCTCAAAAACCTAAATTGATTCATTATTTTACTTCTTCTCCTAACCTTTTTTCTTGATGGTGTAAGGATATTGTCGGGAGAAAATTGATGTTAGTCACTCTTGGGACTTAGAACGTTTTAGCGGGTAGTAAGGTATCTTCATCAAAATATTGAAGATTGATAATTTATTTCTTTACTGCTTCATAGTGTTTCTTGAAATAAAGAGATATCATAGTACAGTGTTGACAATAAAATGTTATGTCAAGCTTTATTGGGCAAGATCAAATCGAAAAAGAAAATATAAAAAAAATAAAAATTGAAAATATACAAGCATAAAGAATTAAAGCCCAAAAAGGATGGGCTCAAATGGGACATTCAGACCCATGCAGGGTGCCTACCCTAGGAAAATATAAGGATTTAAAATATATACAAAAAGTAAAATTTAGTTGTAGTAAGAGGAAAGTCTAATTATAGAAAAATCTAGTTGTACAAAATTGTCGTCTAACTGTAGAAAAATCTAGAAGTATTAAAAAAAAGAAAAAGAAAATATATACATATATATATCATATTCAGTTAGTGCCGAGCATTCATGAGAGATTGACCATGAGCAGATTTTGACCATAATTTAGATTTTTCTACAATTAGTCTTTCCTCTTACTACAACTAGATAATTAAATATTAATGATAATTTCTTCTTGTGCTCATATCTTGTTCTACCATAGTTGTAAGTGCACAAGGCCTCATTGCCAAGGACAAAACAGGTTTGGATTCGTTTTGAATATTTTATTTCTTGATACTGTCCATCAAATATCAAATAAAAATAAGTTTTGCTAATTTTAAATTAAATGAAATCAATGGTGTAATGTATAATAATTGACTTAAATTTAATGTAACTTATTAAACTGATTTTAAGGTACAAGTGATCCTTATGTGACAGTTCAAATTGGACGATCAAAGAGAAGGACAAAGACCATTCCACATGAGCTTAATCCAGAATGGAATGAAACATTTGGATTGTAAGTAAAAAAGTTTAGCTTTTCCTATAAGGTAGCTCATTTTCTAAATGTAATATTATTTTACGTTCCTTTTGACTATCATTTTATTTTTTGACTTGTACAGTGACTGCCACAACTCATCTGACAGAATTAAAGTTCGTGTTTGGTAAGTTTGAAAATAAACTTTCCAGTAGGGCATATCTTGGATTGTTGTGAGATAAGTACAGGAAACGCAAGGTTGCATTCACAGTTTCAGTTCGATTTACACAGCTTTGATCAAAACATTCTCACTTTCGAGAATAGTTTTTTCTAAACCATAAGAAAAGATTTAATTAGAAGTTGAATTTTTCGCTATATTTTCTCTTTCACGTTTTACATTCAATTCATTTTATTTGCCGGAAATAAAGTAAGCCTTAGAAATTAAAAGGATGTTTGATCAATTCACGCTCGCACATTCTAGTCTTATTTTAAACTTTATAGCGGAAGGACATCTGTGAGCAGGGAATAAGTCAGCACAGAATTTGATTGTCAATGAATTTCTGATAAGCAAGCCGTTGTTCACTCGTCTTCCTTGTTTAGGGCTGAGTCTTATTCCCGTCAAAGAGAGAGAAAGAGTGTCTGGCGAGGTTTCCAACCAAAGATTTGTGAACTCGTGTCTGGCAAACTCTCCAAGTGTTTATATATACGCATATTATATTACTGCACAATAAATGTCACAAAATCTACCTAAGCAGTCCCTTCGGAATTTTTTGTCTTTACGTCATCCTAAACATTTCGTACTTGAGGGCGCAAGCAATAGAAACGTCATCATTACCTACCGATTCCTCACGGCCCCAGTTTAAACAAATCAAGATTTTTTCTGGCATACTGACTGCATATTTCAACTGTAAGTACTTTCCTTAATATACGCGCGAGTTACTAGAGTGGCAAAATCCCTGCGGGGGCAATAACAGTGAAAATAGTTGTTGATACAGAAACAGTTTAGCTGGAATATTTTTGTTTGCATTATTGGGAGGTTAGAGAAAGTGATGGTTTGAGAATTAAAGAGAAAGATAAGAAACTGAGAAACTGAGATATTATTTTATGGTTTCATACTTACAGGGATGAGGATGATGACATTAAAGCCAAGGTGAGATCTAAACTGATCCGAGAGCCTGATGACTTCCTTGGGCAGACAATCATTGAAGTGCGAACCCTCAGTGGAGAGATGGATGTGTGGTACAATCTAGGTTTGTATCATTACTATTGTCTCAGCTTGTGTTGACGTTAGATATTATTGGTTAAACTGTAGAAATGTGTAAGTTCATTTAATGTAACAGTTGTGTTTTTTGTTTTTGCTCTTAAGAGAAGAGAACTGACAGATCAGCAGTGTCTGGTGCAATACGACTCCGAATAAGCATTGAGATCAAAGGAGAGGAAAAAGTTGTTCCTTATCATACCCAGTATACTTGCCTTCATGAGGTAATTATCAGTCGGGTGTTTTTTGTATTGAACCTAATGTAGTACTTTTTACATTTTTTGTTTTGAGTTATCCAATGCAAAGATGTGAGAAATGGAAGTCGTAACTAACTGTGTTTTTTTTTTTTTTTACATTTTATGGGTATGGTTTTATATTCACCCTTCTTTCTATCACCCTGTGTGTTTTACTTTACAAAAATTGCATGGTTTTTATTTGTTAAATCTTATTTTATTCTTTTAAAGATACAACAGTTAACCCTGTAAATAAGCATAAGTTTGAATAACCTTTAAAGGGCGTGGAAAAAAAACTTGCATTCCAGCGTGTTCTCTGGACAAGTTGCTCTTACATTTTACCTGCCCAGCACCATTGCTTTTATGTTTTAAATAACGAAATAGTTACAAGATGACGTGACTGAACCCTTTGCCACAGGGACGTGAGCTTAAAAAGTTACTTGTCGAGTAAGAATGTATTCTTGTCTTGTTCCTTTTTTGAGCCCTCCATTGACATATTAATGTTTTTTTTCGTCAGATTATGACATTACATTCTGTTTGCTTCATTCTACAGAACATTTTCCATTTCTTGTGCGAAAGGAACAACGGACAAGTTCCTCTCCCTGCTGCTAACACAGTAAGCTGCTGTATACTCTCACCTGTTAGTTGATGTTTCTCTAATGCAGTCCATGCTAAAGATATTAGGTTACTATTCCTGTCTTTTGATTTGCTTACATTTGTTGCAGAGAGAAGATCCTTGGAAAATATTCTTCCCAGAACCTGCTCTTGAGATAGTGAATGAGTTTGCCATTCGATATGGGATTGAAAGTATTTACCAAGCAATGACGTGAGTAAAAATTCTTTTTTATGTTGAGTGGTTAATAAGTATCTGCAGTGAATCCTCGACATAACAAAGGGCCAAGGGCCTGAAAAAGGGTTCTTTGCCATATATTTTACTATTACTGGGGTGAAAAACTGATTTTTCTAATATATAAGGACTTTGTCATATAGAGTTTCATTATATCGAGCGTCCACCGTACATGTAAATACTGATTGTGGATTAAAAGCAGAACGAGACAGTAGACTAAATTGATTTGTTTCTTGCAATATATATTTTTTGTTTTTAGACATCTGTCCTGTCTCACAACGTGCTACATGTGTCCTGGTGTCCCCGCAGTCATCAGCAGTTTACTTGCAAACATCAATGCTTTCTTCTCTCACACGACGGCAAACTCTGCCACATCTGCATCACATCGATTCACTTCCACAAACTTTGGGGTAAGTATATAAAGGACAAGTGTTAAATATAACGAAAGTGTGCTGATGCTGATGATAGGTAGACCACACAGTTAACACGGAATAAAATCATTTTTTTCCTTTTTCAGAGTGAAAAGTTTGTTAAGATTGTGGATCATCTTTACAACACATTAAGGATTGACATTGCAAATTATAGGGTGAGTTTATGTTGTAGAAGTTTTTATAGACTAGACTGTAACCCTGTTAATGCAAACACTGTTGGGCCATAAAATAGTTTTCATTATAACGAGATGGTTGTATCAACAGGATCTTCAAATTGATAAAATGACCAGTGTTTCGTACATTTGGGTCGAAAGATTGTGGTCCTGATATCAAGGTTGTTGTATTAACAGGGTGGTCGTGACACGGGGTTCCACCGTACATATATACCTGTGTGGGTATACTTTTGTCCCACTGACTTCTGCATCATGTGATCTATTTATAGACAAATTTTCCAGCATCAAGTCCTGATAAGCTTGACGACCTCAAGTCCTCTGTTGATCTTTTGACAAGCGTCACATTTTTCCGAATGAAGGTACAGCTACAATTTTAGTTACATAATGATAGGATAAAAATAAATTATTTCTCAACAGAGCAGTGAGTGACCTGCACTTGTGACCTATCACCTGTAACCTATGTTTTGTACTTGCCATCACATCGACCTCAATTTTCATCTGTACGGCCTAACAGCGTGTAATTTCATACCAATACAATTGAAAATGCACCTCTCCTCTCAGTGGTTGTTTAATAAAACTGAAAAACCTTTCATCTACTGGAACAGACAACAACAAGTGACTTAGGCAGTTTCACCTTAAGCTACAACTCCATTTCGGATGGTGATTAGGGCGAGGAGACAATTTTAGTGTTGTTTATTTACCATACCACGGTGACCTGTACTCTAACCTGCAATAGTGCCTGCCGTCAATGTCATAAAATATGGAAATTGTACTCATTTCATATCAATGTTCATTATCACCATTTTCAGGTTCTCAGTCAAAGACCCACTAGGACAGCAGAGATTGTGCGTGAATGTGTTAAGGTAAGAAAGTGCTGTCGTGACTTGATTGTGAGAAATTCAAGGGAAGGAAACGTAAGACATAGTGTAGTGTTTATGCATGTTCTGGCCCTGCGTGTAACATGACTATAACGGCTGTGAAATCAGCTCTTAGATTCTGTGAATATCTAAAATGTTGGCCCAAGAATAACGCTTGGAGCTTGTTATTCTTTTTGTTAATACACACTGTATATGATCTAATAGAACGCCTCTAATAAACGCCTGTTGTCTAATAAAGCCCCTGCTGTTACGCTTTTAAATTTTTATTAGAAGCCCTCTCTAATAAATGTCCCCTGTCTAATAGACACTCGGAATGACAATTGGAATGACATGACAATTGCCCCACAATACTAGGAAAAATCGAAATAAAGCAAAGTCTTTAAGTTTTAGATTATTCAGTTTCTTGCTTGATTAATTAGCGGTTTTGCATGCATCTTGTTCAGTGTTAAGTTGAAAGTAAGTATTCTGACTTTGATGTTGGGCTTTTAAGAAAAAATAATACTAAAGGATCTCTAAACGGCCTAGACTATCAATGGATCTACTGGATAGTCTGCTATTTGTAGACTGTGGTGTTGTATTTGTCAAAAGCTTATTAGTGTTGTGGAGTTTGGTAACAGTTATGAGTACAACCGCCTTCCTTTTAAACACCTATCTATTTGACGCCCCCACTTGAGCTCCTAACTTAGACACTCTGGGCGTCTATTAGATCATTTAAGTTAGGTTTTTGAAATTAAATTAGTTGTTACCATATCTTTTTTTCTTTATTTTGCATTGTAGAACTGCATGAAAGGAAGTTATGCTTATGTTTATGCCAACTGTGCTGAACTTTATGACCGGGAGCTGGCTTCAGAGAGCTCTTCTTTGGATCCAAATTTACCGCAGGCTGGTCCAAAAAGCCTCGACTTCTGGCCAAAGTTAATTTCGCTGGTTGTCTCTGTGATTGAAGAGGACAAAGTTGTCTACACTCATGTCTTGAACCAGTATGTACCAATTATAATCGTTTTTATTTATTACCTTTTTGATTTCCATGAATTTGTAATATTCTTGATACTCTAAGAAAGTAAAGCCGACTCCTCAGTGATAACTAGAACCTTCTAGGGATTCGAAGAAAATTCGAGGTATTGGGTCATGGGAGTTCGAGTTATAGAGAGTTCGAAGCAAATAATTAATCGAAATAAGGAAATGGATGAGGAGGGAATGCAAATATCTTGTACACTTTACATCAAGGGCAGCGAGAGATATAGATTGATTTTTTGAAAAAGAAACTTGAGTAATGTACAGGGGTGGACACTAAATTTCAACCGGAGTAAGAAAAATGAAAGACAAACAATTGACACGGTTAGCACTGTTTTTTTTTCGACTCGTCACGCTGTAAAAACATGGTTCGAATTATTAAGGGTAAAATCATATAGAATGATCCGAGGGAAATATGAAGTTATGGAGGGTTCGAGTCACTGATGGTAAAAGTACAGTAAATGTACGAAGGAAATCTAGGGGAAATCGACTTTGGTTCGAGTTAGTGACGGTTCGAGTTATTGGGAGTCAACTGTATTGCGAAATAAGTTTTTCTTTTAAAAGTCGAGTTTTAATTTAGAATTCCTTTCACAAACACACGTCACAGCTTAAAATAGTCATTTCTTGTTTAATCTAAGGGAATAGTCGGTTTGCAGACAAGGTTAAGATTCTGTAGTGTTTATTCTGTGACCTTATTCCCCGGGCCTTGCTATCTTTTTTCAATTCATGCATTTGCTTCCAGGTTTCCAACGGAGCTGAATGTTGGTGAAGTCAGTGCTCAGGTGTTCTGGAACTTGTTCTCTGCTGATTTACAGGATATGTTGAAAGGTATGTAATAACAATACTCACTGTTTTCAAACACCAAACGAAACACCCTTTGCTTTAAGAGCTTTGGAACCCCAGAACATTGTGACGAGTGATTAAAGACCAAGAAGGAAGATACGATGTTTTGTTACTACTTATTCATAATTAGAACAAAATTTAAATTTTTAAACTATTTAAAAATTAAAACAAAAGGTCGTCGGGAAGTTTTCTTTTTTACTAGACATGTCAAAAAAAAAATAAAAAAAACATTCAAGAGTAAGAAAGCAATGATACTCACTGTCCTGTTATATAGTCCTTTAATGCATAAATCGGACATGTTGATCAGTAGCCATTCAGATTAGAGAATTTTGTTACAGTTTATAATTAGTGCACTTTAATATTGATTCGGAAGAATTATATGTTAATGCCAGTGAACATTAGACAAAACGTCTACTCTAATTGTAGCCTCTGACTTTTAGGCTACTTTTGGGAAGGCATAACATATTTTTTCATATTGGGATCCCACTATCTGTTGTTAATTTTCAACCCTTTTTTTTTTCAGAGCACAGCCTAAGGCAGCAGTCTCGCTGGAGTAGTGCTGATTACATGAATCTTCACTTCAAGGTGAACATGTACTTTGAACAATAAAATACTTACTCAGCATTTTTACTGTGTTATTTCTGAAACATCCCTCTCAAATCCAGTGCGTTTTCTTGTTATGTAAGAAAGTTTAAAACGTTTGAGTTTTACCCTTTGATTCAGCCTTGCCTTTATGAGTTAAGAAAGTTCTGATCTCCTTTTTTGTGGTGGATAATTTCTGAAGTGCTAAGGGATAAGTAGATGACAACAGCTCATTATTGAAGTTTTTTTTTTCTTTTTAAACTCCCTTACCGACTCCGTGGCTTGTTTGTTGTAGGTCAAGTGGTTTTATAATGAGTATGCCAGTCAGTGTGCAGAAAACAGAGGAAAAGTTCCAGATTATGCCAGGTAATGACTTAAATGTGAGACTGCATGGACAACAGTCGTTCCAGTCTGAAGGTTTGTTGGTTTGACACAGGTCCAGAAAAACTAGCGAAGTAAACTTGCCTTTGCGTGTCTGCTGCCCACAAGTTAGAGGCTCAACTTGCATTATGTTCTCATGTGTTCCATTGAATTGAGTAGGGATCTTGATTACGATTGCGACTTTAGAAGCTAGTTATACGCCTTTAACAATAACTCTTCCTGTTATTTAATACTGACTAGCACATAAAAACCATTAGGTATAAGATTTGTGTGGTAACTGCTCATTTGAGGCACACGAATTTGGTTTGAAAACTTGTAGTCTCGTACTAAATATTTTATTCATCGCAGTTACTCGTGGAACTTTCTTAAGGTTCGTATTATTGATGTTTGTACGATAAATTGGCCCCCTACTCAAATGCTAAGAAGGTTTAATTACTAGCCGTTTCGTCAGACACTGTGTTTTTAAACCAGTACAGTCATTACAGTTACACTATTACGTCTGTTCATATGTAACTTTTTTTAAAGAGAGTTTATTCAGTTTTCTTACACTGCTATTTTTCCTTTGTAGTTGGTTTGAGCCTTTTGTTTCTCAGTGGTTAACTGAGAATGTCAAAGTTTCAACCGAATTTATGATTGGAGCACTAGATCGAGACAAGAGGGATAGTGTGAGTGCTTGTTGTCTTGTTTCTTACATACATTACTGAATCACTGTTGATAGCTATTCTGACTCATCTGATCTGTCATGGTCTTGTTTACAGTTTCCTCCCAGCTCACCTCACACTTTGTTCTCAAACTCAGTGGTGGATATCTTCTGTTCATTAAACCAGGTGAATGATTGGAAGTTAAAAAAATAATGATTTTACTCTGCTTGTGAGTGTAAGCTCGAACTTTCAAAGAGTGTTTAAAAGGCCCGGTTTATATAGAGACGTTTTTTCGTGTACTAAAGAGGGTCACCCACTTAGCCGACTCAACCTTAGTGAGTGTTTATATGAAAACAAGTTGACTCGTTTTTCCGAGCCAACTGCAGACAACAGCGTTCGCGCATGCTCTGATTGTTTCGCGTTGACCGAGTTGACCCGGCTAAGAGGGTGACTCTACCAATGAAAAAACCGGGTCACCCCTCCAACAGAGCATATTTTCTATATCTCATGTAGACAATTCGTCACGTTTTATAAGGAAATGTATGAAAGGTTGGCTCGGCGCCCAGGGTAGCTTGGGTAGGCGGGTGGACAACCCTTTTTAGTTGGCCAACTTGAATCTGTACCACGTGACCAAGTTTCCCTTAACCTGTCGTTTACGTTTCATTACTTCTACAAAAAAAGTTAGTAGTTTCACGCCAATTTTATCCTTAAGAATTGTTTGAAGCTGTTTTTTCTACATATTTTCTATTTTGAATTCTCCACTTGAATCAATTCCTTTCAATTTCTTTTCGTTTTTCCTTAGATGTAATGGTAATTAAAATAAAACTATGATATAAATAAGAATTGTTACTTGAAATATTTTCCCTCCTTTCCTTTCATTATATTTTTTCTTTTAACTGGGCCGCCTAGATTAGCAATTGCTATTTTGCAAGCCAGTCTACTGTAATACTATTTTTAATAAATAAAGTTGAAGTTGAAGTTGAATCTGACGTTTGCCCGTAAACGTGACTCGTCACATTTACGGCAAACGGCAAATGTCACTTTGTAAAACGTGACCAACAAGTTTTGCTTTCATTTGCCGTGTATTATTCAGTGTATATACACAAAAATAAGTAGTTTCACAGTTGTCATCAGCTCATTTCCTAATTTGAGAAATTGTCTTCTTGAAACTCACTTTTACTGTTTACCGTAAACGTGATTCTTAATCTCTCATTCATTAACTGCGTAAAACCATAAATTATTTTTGTTACTTCTATTACTTTTTATTTTTGACGTAATTTTCTAAATTTTGTTTTGTTTTGGCAGAGCTTTGAGATTGTGCGGAAACTGGACTGTCCAGACCCGGAAATACAGACTCGTTACATCATCAAATTTACTATTGTAAGTAATGAGTGTTTAGATGTCTTCTGTTTCTTGTTTTTGCTCTGCTCTGTTTGCTTGCTTTTGTGTTTGTTTTTTTCCTTAACGCCACATTCTGGTCAGAACCATCGTATTTAGTTCTTAAGTCTAGTGACAGTGTGCGGGCATGAAAAGTACTGGAAAAAGAAGGTTATTCTTTGTTCGTTGCAGACTGTACAGAATGTCTTGCTTCAATATGCTGATAAAATTGTCAAAGAATTCAGTGCTTGGTGTGACCAGAGAGAAACAGCTTGTATTTTGATGAACAACATTCAGCAGCTCCGCGTTCAGCTGGAAAAACTCTATGAAACAATGGGTGGAGGGGAGAAGGTAATGGATGTGCAAATGAAAAGTGTTCTTCTGTTGAGTTATAGCAACAGTGATTAGGTGTTCCATCCTTTCCACAGCTATTCATACCCGTAACTGCTTTCATCATCTTGCTTAACTTATAGCTGTCTCCTGAATGCAGTGAAGTATTTAAAGAGCTACAAGTGAAACTTAATCTCACGCTTGATGAGTTGTGCGTGATGTTTGCTCGAAGGTGCGTGGTAATGACCATGTGATCTATTGTATGTCTTGAGCTTGTAGTGCATGAAAATATGCCTCAGAAAAATGAAAAGAAGAAATGGCAAGCATGCTTCTCAGTCAGTCGCTCGACATTTTAGGCAACCGTATTCTCAGTTGGTTTATGTTAATGGATTTTTTTTAAACCGAAAACATTTTATGATGCAATGTGGGACACTTTTTTTTCGTCTGTTCTTGCAGCCTTGATTTGTCAATTCAAGAAAGTGTAAAAGGCGTTGGAAACTCGCTGTTCAAGTAAGATGAAAAATATGACAATTTTTCCTATTTTTTTCTCTTACAGTAAAACCCACAAAAAAGGAAGTGATTTAAGAACCTACAGGTTGAAATTTGGCATTTAAATACCCCAAAATATAAGAACCTGTTCGGCCTGGCAAACAAAAATAGGCTCTTATACTAAAAAAACACTGCAATTTTGATGGCAAAATTCTGGATTTTAATTGTGTGAGAAACTTTTGACAAAAGTTTTTGTGTTTATGTTTCCTATGATTTACATTTTCTCTAGAAATGTCTTTTCCAGAAACCATTATGTATTAGTAATACAATTTTTTTTTCTGCCGATGGTTACACTACGACAACCTCTGAAAATAAGAACCTATTAAGAACCCCATCAGCCTGAATTGTGAAAAACTACCCTGTTCAGCCTGATCTCGAAAATTCTAGGTTCTTGTATGCGGGTTTTCTCTGTATGCTACTGTAGGAGGAGTTTTCTGCATCTGAAGGCAGTTCGTTGTATATCCATTTTCCAGATCCATATAGTATGCAAGGCTTTATTAGTTCTAATGTTTCAAAAAAAAGGAAAAACAATTTTTTTTATTGAAACTAAAAGCAGAATTCACCGTCTATCGTGTCATTTTCGCTCGAATTTGTGGGTTATGGAGCATTTTCGCAAAGTACATCGGTTTTTATTAAATGTGAAAACAGTCATTAAAGATATTTTTTTCATGCGTTACCTAAAAGTTTTTGTAATTAAAAACGGTGATGATTTTATCAATAGTCGATGCGCCTTACTTTTGGAATGCGTGACGAGACGGTTTCTTCAGGCTTCGTTTAGTTTAATTTCGTGTTATTTTTGAATTATTTATCAGGATCAAAAGTACTGGTAACTTTAATCCTGCTTTGCCAAGTAGCAAAACCATCATCGAGGAAGAGTCAGGAAGTATTATCCATCCATTAATGTTACTTCTTGAAGGAAGGTGAGATAGCTTAGAGGATATATTGCCAAGTGTACTCTACTATAACGCAACCGTTGTCACGCCACCCTCCTCTCTACAAAGGGCTTAGCTGATTAGTCGAAAACAACTTTGTTTTTGAGTGCATAGTTTCTGTAATTTGAAAAACTGGTCAGGTTTTTCTTGTCGTAGGTGCCCTAAACAGTTAGGTAGTATATCATCATGGGCTTGACGCTTGGATAGAACAGCAAAGTACGAACAAGCCTGCGAGCACGCTCTCCATTTGAGGAATATCGTGAAAAGTAGACGCGCCAGAGGCACGCGAGAGGAGACGCGAAAGCGGAGGGCGGGGGAGTGGCTCTCAGACTGCCGAGAACTGCTTTTAAACAAAAAATTAGAGATCGCTTCTTTCGAATTTTCGACGCCGAAGAAAGTTATGTCCCTCGCGGCTTCGCCGCTCTCTCGCGCGTTCTCTCGCGATTCGCTTCACTCGCCCAAATAGGAAAGCTTGCTCGCAGGCTAAGTACGAACCTCTGGTAGTCAGTATAGAACCAGAGGGAACGCGAACTTTTCAGAACCAGGAGTAAGCAACTGGAAAGCGATTACTTCATGAAGCAACTTTGCGAGATTTTTTTTATATTGGTCGCGTGGGACTGGGTCTGTGTTGTGTCGAATTGCACTATGGGACTATTGGGACGCTGTAACTTCTTTTATTGGCTGTTGCGAGGTCGCGCCGGAAACTGAGTCAAACTTCGTTCCTCAAAACTGTGCAATTGAACAAAACACGACCAAGTCACAAAGGGAACCTAAATATGGCTAGTATGCATGACAGAATGTACAAAAGAGATTGGGAAAATAAAGGAGATTGAAGAGCGGATTTGCCTTTCCTTGCCTCCTCTTTTCATATGCCTGCCACCTGCTTTTGATACTAACATACAATGTTTTCCAACAGCTTAGAACTTTTCTACAAAGCTTGTGAAAAGACTGTTCTGAAGAGACTTCTGAAGGTAAAAGATTTGGTCACTATACTGGTTACTATCTTTTAAAGGATCACCGAAGTACATACAATTATCATATTGTTATGCTTCTTCCTTTTGTTTTCATTAACTAAATATTCCTTTATAACGGAAATAGTCATATAAGGATTTGTGTAGGGTATCAAAGTGAATGCATATTTAATCGAAATCAGTTAAATTTTGTGAGCTTGTTTTTCGGCGTTACCTCATCTGTACCGAATTGCGTTATCGACTTGTATCTTAACAGGAGCTATGGAAGATAGTCCTCCGGAATATCGACAAGATCATCGTTCTTCCACCACTTTTAGATATCAAGGTAAAAAAGGCCTTAACAGACTGTTTTCATTTTTTAGATACAGTAGTAGTGTATGAAGGAAAGTTTTTTTTGTTACAATAAGTGTGATTTCAGCGCTTGTAATCGATGTTACCTTCCTCCCGCCGACCCCCACGTTACCCACCATCACTCTTTATCCCTTACATTTTTGTGTAATCGCTTTCGAGTGATTCCCTTGCATTTGAAAATAACATTGTACGGTGCAGAATATGAACTCAAACAATAGCCCCTATGCATGATTACGTCAGACGAGTAAATTTCACCAACAAGCCTCGTTTGTGAACAAAATTTTTTGCATTTGCACTTTTTGTGCGTGGGTGTTCTTTTCAACTCTACCTGCCTTGGGAATTCATTTCTGTGAAACTTCGCTTATTTTTAATTTCAAAACGAGGCTTGGTGGTGAAATTTGCTTGTGTGACGTAAACATGCATAAGGGCTATTGCGACTAAGCTCCTTTTGGATGTTGTCACGCAATGTCTCGCTTATGACGTCTTTGCTCAGCAAACTTTAAATTTTTTACGTTTAGGAATTGGCGGGAATAGCAAGCCAATCGGATTCAAGAAATATGAGTCATAAGCAGTGTGCAGTGATGGAAACCACCCTCGGTACTATTAAGGTATGATGGGAAATAATATAGTACCTCAAGATACAAGAAAGGAGTCGTACTTTGATCTGCAAACAGGCTTACTCAAACACAAATTGAATACAAAAGAACTAGGGTTGTTTAGTAATCAAATATGTGTGTGAAAATTATGTTATCTTCCTAGAGAGGTCACAACTAAAGCATGGATAAACAATGTCGTCGAATGAGACAAATTAAAAAATTAACAACGGCAGTAACAATTTATTTTCATCATAACTTGAATGAGACAAACAAAAATTGAGGTAGTTTAATCCGTTAACGGTTATACGACTGATTTCGAATCGAGGAAGAGACATCGCCATGCCTTTCGTCTCTCGATTGAGTTGTGTTCCATGCAAAACACCAATGATTTTTGATATGGTCCAGCAAAGCTCAGTTGATTTGCTGTTAGAGTACTTCTTGCTTCTGGCAAGTTTCTCTCGAGTTCTCCAGTAGATGCGTCTAAAACGCGTGTCCAAGCATGCGTGGTTAAGGTCCTATTAATGAAACAAAAGTTAAATCATGAAAACCCAAACTTTTTGAGTGGGGGCAAACTGGATAGCCTGGTCGTCGCTTCTCTCTTATTTTTCGGGTGAAGAGAAGCGACGACCGGAAATACGTTTGCGTTCGCAAGCTGCAAACTGTACGGGTGCTGGCCCAAGTAAAGATAAGCCTTAGTTTTCTTGAGGTCTCCTCGCCATCTATTCCCTCCTTCCTTCTATCTTACTGTAATTGTGTAGCAAAATAGAGATTGTACAAAGGAACCCCGATGTAACCTTCCTCGATATAACGATGTTCCCGGTATAACGATGAATATTCTATGTCCCGGCAAAAGTTACAGTAAAATGTATTGGACAGAACCTCGATATAATGATCTTCGATATAACGATGTTCTCGATATAAGACTGAGAATTTAACGAATCGAACGTAAAATCTTTCCCGATATAATGATATTATTAGTAAACACAGTCACAATTTAAGCAAAACAATTAATTTTATACCACAACATTACAGTAATCGAGTAATCTTCTCCAACCTTTCTGTTAACTCACTTGGTCTAATTGGGCAGTACATAACTCTGATAACAAAAACATTGAAACAAAAACGAGTTAAGAAGGACTATAGCAAGTGTGTCAAGCGAAGTAATGCATTACTTCTGCTGGCTAATGTCTGTTTTGAAACAACGAACACGCGAACTCGATAAGTAATTACGATAGCAGTCGCAACTTCAAATGGTTTAGTTTAGTTTTGTTGCACTTGTACGATTCACACCACATAATTTACTGTGTAAACTTTTAAAACTTCTAGTGGTTTGCAAACTGTTTAAGGACATTGCTGCGTGCTTGAAATGTATGCAGTAAAGAAGTACATGGTACGTTTTCTCCGATATAACGATAGTTTCGGTTATTTTACGGCCATATCGTTATATCGGGAGTTTCGATATAACGATTCCTCGATATACTGATATCATTTTACTGCTCCCTTGGCATATCGTTATATCAAGGTTCCAGTGTAATTGTGTATTCTTTTTCAAGGATTGTTTTCACGCATCTGGGAATGGACTGAGGAAGACTTTCTTGGACAAGTGTTCACAGCTGCAGTCTCTCAAGTCTGCTCTGTCGCTGTACACGCAGACCACTGACTCGCTTATAAAAGAGTTTGTTAAGAGCCAAACATCACAAGGTAGAGTTTATAACAACTGTAGCAAAGATCAGTAAGAACACGGGACAAAAACCAGGGCATGTTCGAGCTCGTGAGACTATCATTTAAAGACTGGCTGGGCCCACTGGCGGTCTTCCAATGCTTGGTTATAACGTGTTCCTAAAAGTCAAGGGGCGGAAGTCTGGTTACAATTTCGAGGAAAATCATGAAGTGGGTCAATTTTGTGTTATTATTTTTATTAGACGGAAAGATTATTGAACTAACAAATCTTAACGCTTTTGTCGTGAGGAATTACCTCAAAGCGGTAAAAAAGCTCAATCGTCAGTGACTTATCTGAAGTTGCTAAAAAATTTTCAGACAATCCATTAGAAACTAGGAAAGCACCAGTAAAAAAGCAAACTGATAGAATAACGTAAATCTGAAGGCTTTTAAGGCCCTTCTTGCTGAATAGTGTAGAACTACAACTGTTTGCTTTCTCTTAATTTAGAGGATCCTGGTGTTGATGACCCAGTGGGGGAGGTGTCAGTCCAAGTTGACTTGTTTACCCACCCGGGGACAGGAGAACACAAAGTTACAGTGAAAGGTACTTGAACATATTCTGTATCGAAGTTCCATTGATGTTTGTGTTCCTGGGCCGGGTTGTTCTAAAGTGGGTTAAGGTAACCCAAGGTTGGTGCAAAATTTGAACTCAGATATGAGAGCCCTAAAAAACAAATTCAGTTTAATTCTCTTTGCCTACAATTTGATGATTGGATACTCTAAAAAAACACTGTAAAAAAAATATAGAAAATAGGCAGTGCTTTTGATGAAAAGAAAAAGACGCCCTGGTAAAAATTTGACCCTGGGTTAGCACTAACCGGTGTTCGAACAACTGGGCCCTGGTCGATAATCCGAGACAATTTATGGAGGCATTTTATTTATTGAAACGTATTTGCTATGTTACAGTTGTTGCAGCCAAAGACTTGAAATGGCAGTCCCCAGGTGAGTCTATTTGCTATTTGTATAGTTTAAGTTAGAGACTATGGTTTTTCATGCTGATTTTACAGAACGTTTTTCGGGAAACTCTTGTCCATTATTCAAGAATAAGCGCCAGATCAAATTAGACAAATTGTGTCTGTGTTTTAGTAGAACGTATAATATTATCAGTTCACTTTGTGATAACGCCTTTACAAAGACTGTCCCATATCATTGTCAAAAAAAGCCAGCAAAACTTCAATCTTCTTTAGACTGTATTCTGTAGTCAGATGTAGTTTATTGGAATTGGTGAATTATCTTAGCGTAATTCGTTTGTGCTTTTGTATAACATAATTTTGCTGAATTAACTTGTCTTGTTATGTCGTTTTTTTTTTACAGGAATGTTCCGTCCGTTTGTAGAGGTGAATATCGTGGGACCCAACCTTAATGGAAAGAAACGTAAACACTCCACCAGATCAAAGAACAACAACTGGTCTCCAACATACAATGAAACATTCTTCTTGTAAGTAACCATATATTTTTCTCCTACCTATAAGTGCTCTTTATTACAGAATCGCATGATTAAGTAAAATCTCGCATTCTGATTGGTTAACGAAGCGAGGTATTTAGTGTGGAATTGCGAGTTGAAAACGAGGCTAAGCGATATTGTTTCGCATCTACGTAACAACTATCGTCTAATTCTAACACAACAACATGCAAAAAAGGTTTTCTACAATGTCATTTTAAAATGTTTTCAAAACCATTCATTGTCACTTTTTGAAGAGTTAAAAACAAACAAAAGCGTTTTTTAAAGTGAGCCGGAGGTTCTTCCTTGTTTTGAACTGAACTACAGATTCTCGAAGAGACATAAAACCTCTTTCACTCGCGACAACCAGAAAACAAGAAAATCCTGTGAACACGGCCCAGTAAACGGCAATCTAAAGTTCAGCCAAACAAAACGGAGAAGCGACAACGGAGGAAGTGCCGGGGTCGATTGTCCCATATACAGAAGAAGAAATAAATACCTTCAAAGAGGACATGGCCCCTGAAAACACGAAAAAGAGTACGCCGCTTGCAATCGTCTTGAATCGTGGTACTTAGAAAAGTACAAAACAGAGCTGAACTTGAACAGCATTTCTAAAACATTTCAAGGTACTTACCTTATGTCAATCGCGACGTTAAACATGTTAAACTTTCAGTGCTTTCGCTTGGACACTTGATTTCTTTCAGTTTTGCCGCCGAAGAGGTAAAAGGTGTAAATTATTTTCCTTCTCGAGCAAATGACCAATTTGAAAAAAGACGTTCTACATAAACGGCTTCTAAATTCAGTAAAACACCTCTATTTATCCTTACGATTAGTGTGAAGCTTGTTTACATGTAAAAAAGTTTGAAAACAAATGTAAAAACAAGCACAAGGTACAAAAAAAGTTGTCGAAGGTTCAAACGTGTACGACTGACCTTGCTTCCTATTCGCTAACGCAATGACAGTTCTGACAGTTGACTTTGAAATGGCTTTCTGGAGCGCGCGCTCAGGATAAAAACAAACAATATTATTGCTGTTTTCTTTTTTTTTCTTCTGATTTTTATTCAATTATGCGATTCAAGGAAAATTCATTACCTGACTCGAGAATTCCACGTTAAATTGCACTTGAAAACCGATATCGCACTCATCGCTTCGCGATTCGTGCGATATCGGTTTTCGCGTGCAATTTAACGTGGAATTCCCTCGTCAGGTAATGAATTTTCCTATAGAACTTCATCACAATATGAAACTCATGAACGGTAGACCTAACGTCTATGCAGAACTTTGATACGAGGCTAGACTTGGGTTTTACGTGGTATGTTCCACTCAGATGATCGGAATAACATCACAAAAACCTTTGGCATTTTCAAAATCATCCTCTTTGAAGAGCGTTCCAAGTACTGTTAGGTCTAACCGTATAAATAAAGTTGCGCTTTCAAATTTTGTTGCATAGTTTTGAAGGGGCCTTTCTGTGGTAAATGATATTTAAAACTAACATGAGATTAAAAATAAACTTGTTTTGTTTACTGACAGTATACTTGGCAATGAAGATGATTTGGATAATTACGAGCTTCATATATGCGCCAAGGATTACTGCTTTGCCCGGACAGACAATCTTGTTGGTATGACTGTTTTACATCTAAAGAACATAGCTGAGATGGGTTCCTGTGCATGTACTCAAGCATTGGGGCGTTATATCCAAATGGATTCCAAGGGATGGACAATTCTCAAGATTCTTTCCCAAAGAATGAATGACGAAGTTGCGAGGGAATTTGTCCTTCTCAAAAATAACAAAAGATCCGAAGGATTTGACTAAAGTATTGATTTCATTTGAAACCAGTTATTTGTCTATTTATTTAATATATTTGGTTAAAACCGTACTATCACACCAACCAAGGAATGCATTTTTGCAGGATTTTGTAGAGTTGCGTAGTTATTGCGTGCTGCGTTTGTGTAGGCCTTGAAGTTAGTTAACCTTTAGGTATTAGTACACTAGAGTTATTATTGAGGCAGCTGGTCACTGTTTTGTGGAGATGAATGGTCACAAGCTTCAAAGGGTCTTGCTGATAACAGAGTGTTGCTGTCATGAAAAAGAGAACTCTTAAACATTTTCATTCTGAAAGCACTTTAGTTTAGCGACGTGAAAATAGCGAAATTATCGTTAACGTTGAGTTGCTCAACCACCACGCAATCTTGCAGTAGTATGCTAGAGTCTTTACAGGTGAAAGTCCGTTAGCGTATTGATCTGAATTTCAGAAATAGTTGTTATGTAAAGTTAGGGAACTTACTTTAATGTGTAAATAATAACTGCTTCTTGTTTTGAGGACTCCTTAAAGTTATTCGCTAAGTTATTTGCTTGGTTCTCATATGTTGTTGGCATTACTGTAATATTTTCTTCTTTGGGGAATGTTTTGGCCTATTTATCTCAGTTTAGGAGCAGATGTACTAAGAAATCGTTGATGCCGCTGGTGAAACAGTCTGAGAAAAATTTTACGAGTGAAATATGCATCCTCACAATTCTGCCAGTCAATCAAAAAGGTGTAACACCGGCATAGTCAAACTGAGATCGCGAATAACTTCTGTTGTTCCCATTTGTCAGAAAAGTACCCCAGGGGTTTCTGGGTTATTAACCCTGGGTATTTTCCAGGTAGTCGAGGACCAGCCTCAAAACATCAGCATATTTATACAAACCCATGGCAGATAGATATTTACTAAATATAAATATTAGGTATCAATTAATTTAGATAATTGTTTATATATTGAGCATGTGGTTATCTTGGCGTAAACCAGGAAATGTAAATTTACTATTATTCGTGCATTTTTTTTACATATAAAATCAGTAGCTGCGTTTCTTTATGCTCCGTACTAGCGTAGATTCTAAGGTGTGGGGAGTTAATTTAGAACGGTTTAGAAACTGGTGGTTGTTTACTAAAAGTAAGTTTTATTGTACCACGAGCAAAGATCGCCAGTTGTTGTCTAGTTCCATGTCATTTCAATTCGACGTTGACAGTACGTCTCAGGGAATGAACACAATGAAAATAGCTTGTGGCCCATGAATGCGGTCAACCCTCTTGTAAGCGGTCACCCAAAATGCAAAGATTTTGTAGTCTCTTAAGAAAGGTGGTCGCTTAGGAGATTCAAACCAGAAGAGTCTCTTTCAAGGCGAGGTCCAGAGTTATAGAAAGTCAATTGCTAAGTTACGATTCCTGTAGTTCCATGTTCACACAAATAGTTCATCGCATACTCTTGGTAGCGTAGTACATACTGCAAACATAGAGAATAGGTCATGCGTTTTGTAGTCACCTACGAGAGGTTAAAAAATATTGGAAAATTATAATACCATCAACCCCAAAAGTGGTCGCGGTTAGTTACGAGAGTGGATACGAGAGGTTCCAAGATTTGGTGCTTTAACTGGGAAATTTTTGGTGCACTTTGAATAGATGGTCGCTTACGGGAGGTGATCGCACATGGAGGTTCGTCGCGACCGTAGCTATTGTTTTTGCCTTCGACACCTCGCTATGAAATAGAATTTAGGGTCTCTTCATCTAAGCCTGGGGGTCTTAAAGGAGCAAGCTAGCTTTCTCATAATAACATATTGATATTGTTTTACAAAGGAAATAGAAGTGAGCAAAAATATCGCCGGAAAACGGAGCTTATTTAGAGAGACCCTTGATACACACTGTACCGAAAATAGGTTAATTTTGTCATTTTTAAATAATTATTTAATTTTCTTTTAAAACGTTCAGTATTGTCACGAAAGATAACGAAACTCATCGAAATTGGCTTGCGTCTTCCCAGTAAGGAGATTACAGTTTTTATGATCTCGCTTCTCTTATAGAGCACTTTACATCTGGTTCATTCCTCTTGTCCTGTAAATAGAACCGTAGAAGTTTGAACTTGTGTTATTTGTAAGATCTTTTGCCCTGGAACATCAGTGTTAATAAAAAATAGCTGAAGAGATGTACTTTTAGAACCGTATAATGTTATTTTTGATAAGGGACAAATTGAATAAAACAACGTTAAAAATTATATGATCTCGCAAGTGTTCCATGGTGATGACTGCCATTCTATTTCTCAGAATTATTAGACTCGGCTTTTGTAAGCCTGCGTGGTAAGCGTGCCTGGCACATAGGCTAAGTTTTTAATTCTCAGACGTCCGAGGTCGATCGACAGAAGCGAAAGGGCCGCCATCGACCTCGGACGTCTGAGAATCAGGCCTGAATTTCGTACGATCTGGAGAATTTTGGACTGGATCTCGGAGGGTGTTATCCACTGAGGCCTAATGAAACCCTCCTTGATCTCCATAATTCTTTAGATCATGCTCAGCCTCATTCAATAATTGTCAAATTTTATCAGGGTAGAAAAGCTAAGAACTCATTTCTGTGAAACCAAACTCCGTTGCTCTGACCGATTTCTGAAACAACTGACGTTTTAAAAGCAGCGCATAGTCCCCCGTTAACGCTTGTTACCTCAAACGCCTTCTTCAATCATAAGACAGACAAATCTTGGGAACTTGTTTTTATTTTCAAGTAGACCATATGAACCAACAAACATGTCATCTCGCTGTCTAAATCACGAAAGTAAATATTTTTCCCTTGCTCAGAAGAGTAGTTACTCAGTGTTTAGTAGATACTCGTTTTTAGTATCTTGTGTAGCATCATCTGCATCCGGACGTTGCATGCAAGTCCAGTGAACGAATCTTTACAACGACTGTGCTGCAAAACCTTGGTGTGAGGCTAGGACGATCCCACAGATCCATTCCAATTTTGATAGCATTCTGATCCCTGGGGTCATCAACTCCTCCCTTTTGAACTTTGTCAGCAGCATGCAACAGCAACCAACGACGAATACTGGCAGCCCGTCCAACCCGGCCATAAAGGATGTCTCCTGGTACATAATATAGTTGACAGGTCGTCCAAATAGGGTGACAGTCCGCGGGCATCCATAAGGACAAGATCCTGTGTTGAATGACTGGGTGCACTTGAAGTCCCATGGTCTTCAGTTTCCAACTAGTTTGGCAAAGATCCGCAGGCACCTTGGCCAGAGAAAAGTATTGTACCATGAGCCGCAACGTCTGATTTTAACGTGCTTCCTGTTGCGGTTCATCTTGGTCTGCATAAGCGAGGATGTCACGTCCGGGCCAAATCTATGATAAATAAACGCCAAGCAAATTTCATGGAAAAAGTAATGATTAAAAAACTGCCCACAAATTTTGGACGACTACTTGGTGGTGAGGACTTTAAAAAATCAGTGTTACCTCCGTACTAACCGCTCGTTTTCTGTTTTCTTTGGCACTTTTTCCCAGAAGAAGACCAACATTGAACAACGGAGAAACCATTTTTAGATATTTAAAAAATATTTCAACTGATATTTGATGACGTCTGTTTGTCCTTTTTTCTGCAACAAGCTCTGTGCTCATAAAATATTTACATCATTAGACCTCTTTTCATACCATTTATTTTAAATGGAGAATCCTCATTATCATACTTTCGATTGATTCATTTGCAACATACGCGAAAAGCAGTCGCATTTGCCTTTTAAGGTTTTTTTCTGTTTTTAACCGGCTTAGAAACAATAAAAAACCAACAGGAAAAATGCGACGGCTATTGCGATTGAATGCACCATTAATTTCGCCCGCCAATTTGCAAACTTTGGATCATGCAAACAACAAAAAAATCAATATCACACTGACATTCTTATGAATTTCAGTTGGCGTACAAGTTTTTTAAAGGCGTTTAATTGCGTAGTTACCCTTTACGTCATTCCAAATTCAGTTAATTCATAAGTTACATCAAGTACAGTCGACTCCCGATAATTCGAACCTTCAAGGGAAATATAAAAAAGTTCGAGTTATCGAGGGTAAAATTATATAGAAAATGATCTGAAGGGAAATGAAAATTGCTTCGAGTTAGTGGGAGTCGACTGTACCGTGGACTGAAGAAGCAACCATACTTGATCCCAAGGCAAAAATCAGTCCCTAATATTTGTGTGGTCAGTATTTTTGACATGCCCTACAAGAAAATGTATTGATTTCCATCAAGGATTTGCGTGTATTAGATTGAGCTGAAACAGATGAATATACATGTACAGTATCCTTCGTGAAACTTGATATTCTTAGGTTATCGGACGTTTGAAATGTTGATTACTTGTCGTTAACAAAAACGCCAGACTAGCGAACGAATAGCGAACGTTATCTCCTAGCGGTCTCTCAGTTAAGCGTGACTTTCTTGAACGAATAGGCAAAGTTCCGTCAAAGGTTAGTGTTTTGAAGTCCTGAGTTTATACTCCTGGCCGTAAGAAACTGTCATCTTGTTCAGTGCGAAAGAAAAAGAGTTTAACAACCCCCAGGGGCGTGGCTAACTGTACGCCACTATGCACATACGTTCGAAGATCAAGAAAATGCAAAATAACAATAATACGAATAAAAAAATGGAAATAGAAAAACAAAGCAAAGGAACAGAAAGTTAACAAATGATAGCTAAAAAACAGGGCGATTGCCTACACAACTGTGACGTTTTTCAGATAACAAAAGTTTACAACAATATGTTATCGGCCTATCACTGTATCATTGTAAGTGTTTATCAAAAGTTTGTAGAGTAAACAAGGTGTAAATTTTGGAGGGAATACAAGATATATTACGGGCATTGTGAAAGACGGCGAGTAGTTACATTGTGGTATTTTCCCTCAGATCACCGTTTGGACTAGGAATGATGCAGCTGAAACGCCTGCCTGTTGTGTATGTGTTGGGCCCAGTAGGCTTCAGCTTATTATATCTCGAGAGAAGAGAGGAATTAAATTGATCACGCTTTAAAGGTCGCCATGCAGTCATTCCAATCGCCGAGTGGTGTCCCCCAAATTGATGCCAACTTTCTTAAGTTTCCTCTACCGAGTGTCTTTATTTTTTCTAAGAAGATGTAATGAGATGTTTTTCCTTGATTATACTATAGTCGAAAGCTTCAACAGCTCATGTCTTCACGTTCCATATTAATAAAAAGCGAAAACTCAATCAAGTCATCACCTGTGTGAAAACACTTTGGGAGGTTAGGGTTGATTTGGAAAACTGTGCCCACTTGTGGAAAATTTCTAGCTACGCCCCTGTGAACTTGTCAAACCACGCAATCTCGGATAAAATAGCGACAGTTTCTACTGTCGTTTCGCTTCATAATGAATACAGTAAAACTTCCCTACACCGCGAAAAAGCAAAGCTAAAAATTTGGGCTGATCGTAGTTTACTTTAAGAGCAGACCAGGCTGATTAAGCTAACGATCCTGATCCATGCAACACAACTTCAGGCAAACTGACGAGAATTTCTCTGTCGGACTCGCTCGGCCCTTTTAGTGGACATACATGTAGCGATAAAGGCCTTCAGAGATTCAAGCATCCGTCTGTTTTTACACATTATTTTGAAACAAAAACATTTCTCATCGGACCTTTTTCAAATTATATTTCAAGAAATTAGTCCACAATCTCTGACTCCCGATCTGGTTGAAGTGACACCTTTTAGGTCCAGCCCAATTTGCAATGTTGCAATGACTTTGACTGGATAACTTTATTCGTGACTTCAAACGTAATCTCGCTTCACAAATACCACAACGGAGGTATTTAAATTTTATGCTGTACATAAATTAAGTGGAGTAGGAGTACCAAAAGTACAAATGCAAAACAGGAAACGGCTAACACTGAACCCCGCACTGAACCAAATTAAAAAATATTACAAATATAACATCTTTGCGTAAATTAAACTGTCTGTAAGGTGGAAATCCCTCAAGGCTAGCTAGCCGCTCACACTAACATTAAGGAAAATTATCATTTCTTGACTGCATTTTTTTAACAGAATCTTGGATGAATACTTGACTTTTTTTTCAAGTTTTAAATGTATTCACGAAAACACATATGATGATTTTCAGTTTTGATGTGCTAGGAGCTTACACCAAGCCAAGCTGGAACTGACGGTGTCAAACTCAAAGCGAGATCACTTGCTTTGTTTCCTTTCCCAAATCCGATCCTAACAATCAAGTCAATAAAGAGAAAACGACGGAAAGATTATTCTTTCTTGAAAAACTGGCATTATGAGGCGGTTACCGTCTCTTGGTAGACAGTAGGCTGGGTGTAATACTCACCCGCAAGAAAGCTATGTACCGGAGAATTAAATTTCAAATCCCAAAAATCGAAATACATTTTGCCATCAAGGAGTCTAGTACTCAAGTATTAGCACTTTGATGCGATATTACAAAGTTGGCCTGATATGTCATGACGGTGCATTTATGCGAATTTTGTTTCCTCTTAGATAGCAATCTTTGTGATCATGACGCAAGTCATGTACAAGCTTTTCTCAAGTCGTGAAGGGTAAAAAGTAACCGATTTAATTAAACAGAGTAGCACGAGTAGGAACAAAAACGTTTATTAAAAACCTCTGCAGACATTCCTGGGTTAAGAACTCGCTGTTAAGCTAACTTACCACAATACGAACAACAACGCCGAAGATAATAGGTCTAGAAACAAAAACTAATTTCAGAAAAAATAAATCAGATGCTCAAGCTAACTGATCACGATCAGAGCACGCATAAAGGTCATTGAATATTCAATGTTTTTAATCCGTTAAAGAGCATCTTAAACAATATAACTAGGATTATCCTCTGAATTATCATTGGTAAGACGCTCTTAGGGATGAATGTTGGGAAGCAAACGTCGCCAGCAGCGTAGAAACGAACTTGAAAGTGCGGAGACGGCCCGAAGGTTAGCTTTAATGGTGGCGCACTCAACTGTAATGGGCCGGAGGGCCCATTCTTTTAGGGGAAGTCCCTGGGTATCCTTTCTCGAAATATTAAGTCTTTTCCGCGAAAAAGTGGGATGGGATGGGGCGGGGGTATGAAGCCACCCGGCTTTACTACCGCTACGGCCATGAGCGTTTTACAAGTTATTCCATCTTTTTGTGTTCAATAGCTGCTTCATCAGTCGGTCAAAATGGAAAATCTTGATAGGGAAAGTTTGTGATTATGTTTTGGAGGAACTTCCGGAAGTGAAAAGGGATGTTTCGTGCCTTTTAATCCTTTTAAATCAAGCCTTACTATCAGACTAAAATTCATTTACCCGAGGCAATGAAAAGCGAGACTGACGAAAGGCGATAAAGAGTTTGGGTCATTTAGCGTTATTTTATTTAATAAAATACGTTGCCTTTAATCATATCAAGCGCGGGGAATGTGCAAAGTTTATGATACGTGGCTTTGACAAATAGCACAGATAGTCTATGATTGGTCAGACCTTTTTTATTTAAAAACATCTGATTTTAACATTATTTCCTATTTTGTATTGACGCACACTTATCCCTCTATCTACAGTATCTATGAAAGAAATCGGTAAGAAAACACAATTTTCCAATTTAGAAAGCTTAAGGTTGGAAAAAAATTGAAGATTTTACCGCACTCGACCATCTTGGTGCCAAAAGTCTTGGTAAGTATTTTGATATATATTTTTTATTAACTGAACCTTTTTTTACCATTGTTTTCACTTGGCTCTTTATTAGTGTAATAGATTCCTTACTAGGCGATTTTTTTTTAACTTTAACATTTCGATTTCTTTCTACGTTTGATCCTACCACTAGTCGTGTTTGTTAGTAAAAACCCCTTATAATGTTCATAATAATAATAATAAGAAGAAGAACATTACAACAACATTCTTTTTGTACTTTACACTGTAACGAAAGCAAATCGCGAGGGGAAAATGAAGACTGAGTAATTTTATTATGTAAAGAAACAACGCCATAGGGGACATGAAATGTGGCTTGCTGATGATTAGAATATTTTAATTAGGACAAAAAGTAGCGCAAGAAAAAAGTATTTCTTCATCATGTCTAAACCGAAATTAAACAAAAAAAGAAACGTCTGATTAAAAGCTGGATAACCGAAGGGTACGGTAAATTTTCCTTAATTGACAGTCGCTATTTTCAGAACAGGTCAATGGTCAAATTTATTGGAGGTTTTGGTTTATTTTTAGTATATGAGTTTTATGACTTAAATTCATTAACTTTCATTCAAATCTTAGCAATCTTAGAAAGAAAAATATCGGCCGTAAAATAAAATTTCGCTGATGTAGGGCTCTTTTTACGCTTGTCTTGTAGTCTTGTGTAAACAGCTAAATTTTGAAACAATTAAAGGAATCATGCAACAAGCATGGTGGACCAATGAATGTAGCTACTTCACCCAGTTGCCTACTTCACACTTGTAATACAAATTAAGCAGCTCTTAGGTATATGTCAAAACTGAAAACTTGAAGACACTCCCGAGGATTAGTTTCAGCGTATAATTTGAGAACGTACAGGGTATTTTAAAGAACAATTAAAATGACAAACGATTTCTCTGAGAAGATAACTAAAAACAGCTTTAGGGAATAAATAATATACATCACGTAAAATAATATGAGGATTAAAAACGACACGCAACATGAAACGATAACATCTTGCTCGTAAATTGAATTACATAATTCATAGCTAACATGATTTATAAATCCTAACGTGACACAATTTTATAGAATATATAGTTTACTGTGATTTCAAAACCCTGATAACAAGGTCTTGCAGGCCATGTTTCGTTTATGTGGAGGAGATAATGACCAAGACTTCCTACGCCCCCGCCATGCCCCTTTACTCAACTATTGATTTGTGTATGCTGATCACATAGCTGTGATCAGAGGTTATGCATTGGAGGAGAGATCTACAAGTTTTGGGTGCGCTTTACGGAGGGGGTGGCTGATTCGAACAAGCGATAACCTGGCTAGGTAATTAAAAAAATCCAGTTTTATTGTAAGAAAAGTCGATTTTAAATACATCTACACAACCACTGAGTATATTTTTCGTGAAGTTGGTATTATTGGTGGTTACAAATTTGAAACAAAGTTATACACCACGACCAACACCAAGGCACAGGGAGGTGCGGTTAAAAATGATACACAGCAATAATAATATATTTCTAGCGCGTTACGCAACATTTAATATATAGAGATGGCAAAAACAATTATTCAAAAGCACAATAACTCAAGCTTACAAATAGAAATCTCACACAAGATAATTCATTCAACTGAATAAAGTCGTTTAGAGTTCCTTCTTGAGATAGTGCTTTTCCAGACTAAGTTGTTTAAACACTGCGATTTATTGTTGATAAACACCAAAAACCACAATGTTTTTTAAAAACAATGGTACAATCTAGCCCTTAACACTAAACCACATATCAAACATTGCAAATTTTAGAAATGATCAGTATTTTCACGCTGGTAACGTAAATCAGATCTCTATACCAGCCAGCAGCACACTCAAATGGCACTTAAAATTATTGCAAGTCCTTTTCCTCGATTTTGGCAGTTTTCTACTTTATTGAAAACAGTTCTAATTACATAGTGGATGCACAAGTTATTACTATTAACATCATCAGGTTTATTGCCTATTAATTTTGATTATTTAAAATATGCATAGTTATAGGTATTGTTATCCTTAAAGCTACTTTGCAATGACTACACTGAAAGGCATAACTCTGCAAAAGAACTCGAGTCAGCACGTAGATCAAAAAGAAATTCAGGGTAAAATGGTTTCAGCTTGGTTAATTTGATTCTCAGTAACCTTTGTTTCCAAACTCTAAATATACATGAATAATCATGAGTAATTAGGGTTAGGAAACAAAGACAACTAAAAAAAAAATTAAAAAAAACTAGGTTGAAAACATTTTAAACTGAATTTCTTTTCAGAGGCCTACAACATACACGTAAACATTGATACACCAAGCCTGAATCGTGATCTATTTTAACAATAGTATTAGACCATGGATCTTTTAAAATAAATTTATTGTATTGTCTTATTATCAGACCAATTTTAGCAATGCTTTCTCACTTTTATCACTGAGAATATTACCTTTTAATTTTTTAGCGTGGAAGGATAATTACAGTAAATGGACTTACCCGGAAATCAATATTTTTAATAATTAGCTCTAGCATGTTCCTGTAAAATCCATTCGTTGGCACGTGTAATGTAAGCAATGGTTAATCAAACATCTGTCTCTCTCTCACACTAATTTTAAGGCTCTTACGCAAGAAAAAATTTATCGCTGATGCGAAAAAAAATTAATTGGGACTTTTATAGGAGTTTCCATCATAGCAAAACTGTTGGGCGTGCAAGTACGAAGCTTTCATTCATAACTGACTCCTACAGTAAACTCGGTTCAGTATAAACAGAAACTCGTAAGGGGTTGAACAACCCCTTATGAGTTTCTGGTATAAACTTGGTTCTAAGCTGATGACTACCTGCGTGCCAGAATTCAAAGCCTCAGAGAAAATTTTAACTATTATCAAGTCCTTTCAAGAGCCATAATGGTCTTTTGTTCTTCAGTATAAACATCTCGACATTGTGTCGGTAAAACAGGGCTAAAAAAAAACGTGTGATAGTTTAGTTTTTGGGTAAAAAAGGAATCAAATATTATTTGTTTTGACTAATACGGCTACGTTTTTTACCAACAGAAATCAGGTATACCAATTGATATCTATCATATATTTTCGTGCCCTTTCATTAAACAGATATTTTAGAATGCGAATATATTTTAATTAATATTAATCACTAATATGTTTTTTTAGGCGTTTTTTACCTGTTAGAAGCGATAACGTTGCTCGAAACTTTAGTGCGAGAATCATTTAGTCCTTAATTGATACTTTTTTTCTGATATTTTCTTCCTTTTTTCTTGTAAGAGGTTAAAAACACAGACAGATTATTTCAAGGAAGAAGAAATTCCGTCAAGACAGTGATTTCACCTATATTGGGAATTCAACAGCACAATGGGTTACCCAGCAAAAAGCAACTATTCGTCCGTAAGTGATACAGAGAGGAAGATAAAGCTGGTATTTTTTGTGTTCACATTCCTCCTCGGAGTTACAGGAAACTCGCTCGTTATTGCTATTCTACGGAAGAAGAAACGAAAGTCTGTCAACGACATTCTAATCTTTAACTTGTCAACATCCGACTTGACGTTAATGCTGCTTTCATTGCCTGCTAACGTTTTCCTGCTCGGTGGAATAGACTTTCCGATTTTTTTCTGCAAGTTTATTTCTCCTCTTATGACGGCCACCTTTAACGTCAGCATATTCACTCTGACTTTTATGGCGGTATACCGCTGGCGTGTCATCATAAACTCCCTTCAACCGGAAATGCGTCACAGATTCGTCGTCATATGGATTGCTGCAATTTGGTTTGTTGCAGTACTTCTTCTACTTCCGCTGGTGGTCGTCGCCGAAACGAACAAGATCGGTAGCTGCACGGAGAATTGGGGACCAGACCAAAGTCGCGCTTACACTGTTATCCTGTTCATACTGCAGTACGTACTTCCGCTGCTAACTATCGCTGGCGCGTATGTATTGATTGCAATCGAGATAGGAAAAGCCGAAAAGCGGCATATTTCAAATGCACAGGATCGTGCAGCTTTGGAATTAAGGAGGAAAGAAGACATACAGATTATCAAGATGATGGGAATGATCGTCATATTATTTGCAGTGTGCATGTTGCCAATTCAGGTCGCGTGGTTGATATCGGACTTCGGACCTGACGAATATAAGAAAGTAGCCAGTGTGATGCTGAGGATGGCTGATATTGCAGCCTATTTACACGCATGCGTGAATCCCATCATTTACGGAACTATAACGAGATATTTCCGTCGTGAATACATTAAGTACATTAGATCTATTTTTTTCTGCTAAAATCGTTTATGATTGGTTTAAAGTTCTCTGTTGATGTGTCATAACGTGCTAACGCTGACCAAATTTCGATCATTTATGTCAATTCATCAATAAAAGACTAAGTATTGGGAGAATGACGTCGCGCAGAAACAGCGGCCCGGGGCGGCTCAGCTGTTCTAACAATGCTTTTAAACAAATACTAAATTAATGTTTTAATTCGCGGTTTTCGGAGAAAACTTCTTCTGTGATTAAACGATCTTTAACTTTACTCTTAAGGCCAATGCCAACTAATCTTTATTTTTGCTGATGTCTACTGTTGTTTCTTTCAGGTACAAAACAGAGGTCACAGGTCACAGGTCACATGGCGTGCAGGTCACTGCTTTATTGATAAATAACTGAGATAAACAGTTTCCCCTTAAGCTAAAACTCTATTTCGGATGGTGAGTAGGGCTGGTAGACACTTTTAGTGCTGTTTATTTATCGTAGCACTGTGACCTTTACTCTAACCTGCACTTGTGACGGCTGTGACTTGTGACTTGTGTGTTGTACCTGCCGAGATGTAGTTGGGAAGTTGTTGCTCAGTACGTGCAAGCAGAACAAAAGGCTGACAAGACATGTATTTAATAAGGAGCTATCCCAACCAGTGTACAGGGAAGATTAAGTTAAGTTATAGCCTGTTCTCAGACTCTCCACTTCAGCTTAAGAGACCGTCGAGCGCGCGTATGAAAATAAAAAATCTGCGGGGAGGTGGACAGGCTAGTAAAGTTACCAAAAAACCCATTCTAGCAAAATTCGAAGGCCTGTTTCACACACGTACAGTTTTCTATCATGATTTTCAACAGTCTTATGTAAGAACGTGGAAATGATCCTCGCAGTTGAATAAACAACCTACGCGGTTGAAAAAGAACCTGAAAAAATTCAGGCTTGACCGGGAATCGAACCCTGGCCTTTGTTTTTTCATGTTCTTTTTCATCCGCTTAGGTTATTTATTCAACGCGAGGATCATTTCCCCTTTCATATCTGTATCTGGAGTTCAAAATATGAGTCATTTCATATATTTCCATTCAAGTCTAATGTAAATTATTTTTAACATTCGGACGCAAAGGAAGCAAATAAAGTTATGGGTTAAAAATAGTTTTAAAAATATGCTTTGCTGTTGTCACGCGTTAGCGCAGCTTAGCGAGAGAGCCCTCTATTCGTTTATGTCGACAAAACAAATAAACAATACATTCGAACCTAGCTCGAATCTCTCTAATACGGGCACCGAAGGGACAGAGTGAAGTGTCTGTATTAGAGAGGTGTCCTTATAAAAGAGGTCACTATGATGACGTCACTTTTATGACTCCACTTACAGTTTAAAGTGTTCAGTGGCTAAAACCAGGCTCCCACTCGTCTTTAAACTGCATTTAAATTTATAAATTTACAGTACAAAGATGGCTGTCTTTCAGTTGCATACAACATTGTACATCTCAGCGACAAAGTAAGCAAAGTCGTAGACAAATCACTGTTTTAAAACGAAACGAGCTACAGCGCAATGCGACGTGTTAAAAGATGCAACATAAAGCACAATTCTGAAAGCGTCTTTCGCTATGTATGACTTGTTCGAGTGCCTGTGCTCCTATATGGACAATGGAAACCTAACCTCCATTCCCATCAATTTCATCTCACCTGTGGCCGATAGTTCTTTCGCCCTCGCAAATAAAAATGCAGTAAACAGTAACTAGAGTATAACATGTACTAGAAAAGATCTTTATGCTATCTGTAGTTATTCAAGCCTGAAAAAGTCGGATATGTTCCTCTGTACACCTTTCGCAAATCGTTATTTGATATTCAGTGACTGGGCTTTTGAAATGACATTGCACAGCTCATCAGCCAGACGAGATTCACCTTGTGCAGATTCAGCTGATCGGGATTAGGAATTCACCTGATCACCGCAGGTTCCGTAATAAAGCCGACACCAGGGTCCCTCTTTTTCCCGTCCCTTCTCTTTACACGAAGTTTCAACGACGTAGCCTGTGAGGGGGGCGTCTGTACAAAGGCTACCTCGACGCTTATTTTGAGTGATGAAAATATGGCAAATAAATAATCTGTCTTTGAAAAAAAATGTTTCATAATACATCTGATGTTTTTTCGTTTCATTTTTCTCAATATACGGGATGAAAAAAGTAAGGCAAAGAACAGTGTTTATATAAGGCACCGATGGGATTCGAACCCATGACCTCCTGTTTACTAGACAGGCGCTCTAACCAACTGAGCTACGGCGCCTCTCGGTCCACAGCTTCCGTACTTTTTACACATCGTCGATCTCGGAGTGAAGCTCTACGGACCCCCAGTATTACCACTGAAGATAGACACAGGAATATCATATTCGAACATTTCAGAATCCCCACGAAATATTCTTATAAGCCTGTTTAGTAGCTGCTTGGAGAGCTGTGAATAGAAAAAAGGAATCTTTGAAGAAGTCTTTGAAGGTTTAATCTCTGGAAGTGATACTTTCGCATGTTTGACGCTAGAAATTTCGAAAACATGACGGACTTCTTTTTCGAGATTTTCAAATCCACCAATGAAGTCATAATCGATTCCACAAGGATGACAAAGTTTGTCGAATGTTTGCCAGTGTTCGTTACGAAACTCGTCATTTTCATGGAGTCTTACAACGAAATTGACAAACTCTTCGAATGTTATGATCGATTTATAGCTTGTTTCCTCACCGCTCACGTATCTCGTAGGCGCGATGTCAGGTCCCCACAAAGAATAGAACGCTGGGTCATAGTTGAAAAATTTATCAATGTAAGCTGACAGTATCCGTTCGAAAGGTTCTCGGACAAACAAGAACTTGAAATACGATTTCATCATTTGTTCAGATTCATTTTGGGGATAATCAGCCAAAAACTTAAAGTTGCTTGGATCGTGAACCCAGACATCAGATTCCGAAGGATTGAGCTGCACCATGACTTTCTTCCACTGAGTACAGCCTACTTTTGGGATGTAACAGTAGAGGGTCTTGAACTTCTCGTTGACTATGATGTTAATTAGTTCTGCAGTATTAACTGTTTGGTTTATCCTTTTACTTCTTTGGCAAAATTCCCTCAAACTTGCTTTCCTTTTCAAGTTCACAACTTCAATGCTGTCGGCACTACCGGGCTGGAAACCGAGAGAACAAAACGTTACTCATTTATGGTCTTAGCATATGTGATCGTTTCAGCGAATTTTAGTTCTGTGGCAAGTTGTTCATTTTATAACCTGGAGAATTATAAAGAGAGCGAATCTAAAACCATTTGTAAAACCATAGGCAGACCACCCTCTGTTGGTGTTTTGATACTGAAATCTGAGTATCTGCAGTCTGTCGGCTTTACAGACGAAATGCAGATAAACTTTTTCCTTGAAAAAATTTGATTGGAAATGTTTCAATAGAAATTTAAACGAAATGTTAACTGAGTCATCTGTCTTGTTTTTTCGCCACCTGCGTGCTGTTGAATAAAATTATTATTATTACCTATTAACGATCGCTAAAACATCCCTACAAACCCTTATAATATTTCAGATACGCAGCAACGATCACTCCTGAGCTTGGTCAGCTTGGGGTACCCGCCCGTGGTCTCAGTTACCTGCTCATCATACGAAGATCATTTTATTAACAACAAAGGAATAAAAAGACTGGCCTTCTGCTGCCCGCTTTCGTTGACTGCCTTGTCCGGAATTTATAAGAATTTCCGATTGTGTGAGAAATTTGAGATTCGCAATCAATCGTCCCAAGTTTGGCCGACTTCTGTAGCGACCTAAATATAAGGTTTAGTAGGTGATTAAGAATTAAGTAGTTGAATTAAAACACAACGGACCTGTTCAGTCTCTTTGGTTGCTGGTGTGCTGAAGTCTGTAAATAAATACATAAATAAATAAATAAGCTACTTTAGTTATTGCAGCGTATTAACAGCTAGCAATATCTAAAATAAGGAGATGGGTTGGCTTGACTGTTTGGCGCCTACAGAACCAAGTAAATCAACCTCGTCCCCAGTGGGGAGGCTGGGGAGAAAGAAAGAGAGCGCGCAGGGCACGATAAGAAGGGGAAAATTTTCCCCGCACGCTTTCTATTTTTTTCGATTATTACTATTTTCTCAGGGATACCCAGCGGAAGCCTCTACGGAGGAGAGAGTTCTTGATGGAAAAAAGCATTTTTTATTGACAATTCAGAGTGTGGGGGTGTGTTCGAGCAACTCGCTCGCTACACGATGAGGTACATACAGTTGCCTCGATAACTCGAACCCTCGCTAACTCGAACCTCCCGCTTACTGATTTCCCCCTGGATTTCGTTTATAATTTTGCTGTAATTTTACGCTTGGTAACACCAACCCTCGATAACTCAAAAACCTCCCGCCAACTCGAAGTAATTTTTGTTTCCCTTCAGATTATTTAATTTTCTATATAATTTTACCCTCGATAACGGACCCTCATAACTCGAACCCTGCTCTAAGCACTTGAGTCGCTTAATTTGAAAGTGCCACTGAAACGAAAAATCGAAGTGGCTAGCTATTTCGCACTTAAATCGTTTTACCAATCTTAGAATAACACTCTTGTTGTGGAGTATTTTGAAAGTTATTTTTAAGACGGTCCTATATTATCTTTTAAGTTTAGTTTTTGTTTCATTAAGTCTTGTTTTTGTCCACGTACTGTTTTCCCGTTTTGACCTTTTGTTTTTACTTGTACTCGAATTTATACTTAGCTCACGAATTTACTTATTGCCATATTAGGAATGTGATTCGCTTGGCATTGTTAGATGTTAATTAGTTTTTTTTACAGGTGGTCGTGTTTGTGGTGTTAGAGCTGACCTTCGTTATTTGGTACTTATCAGTTGCGGCTGTGCGTAGGCTAGTCTATTCCCTATTAAACACTAGCAAACCTGTTGAAATGTTAGGGATAAGATATACAATAGAAACTCTTCCGGTGAGCTAACCCAAACTTGTCCAGCTTTGGCTATTAAAACCGCTACTATACTTGAACTAGTAAGTAGGAGAAGTAGGAAGTAAGTTTGTGAAAAAGTGGAAGAGTTAGAAGATTAAAAAGAATAAAGGCAAGATGTAAATCAGATTCCTGGTGATTCTTGTCGAGCAGATATTTATGGACTTACAGGTTTTGGCGTCTCAAGTATAAACTGAGACGGGCACAAGACGCTGGTAATGTCATTATGCGTCTAGACGAACTTTCCTTCGAAAGACGTGTTGAATGACGCACTACGACAGGTAGTCTGGACGCTTAATGCGTCTTGTGCTGGTACTAGAGACACATAACCAGGCGAACTACAAAATGTTTGCCCAAGAAATATAATGCGTCCTTAGTATAAAAACGGCTAAGAAATATCTTGATGCATCACCTCTCACACTATCTGGTATCTGGTGCAAAAACACAGAATACGGTGCTAACTTACCATTTATCTGAAAAGATAATACATTGCCTTCCCACCAGTCACTGAGAATTACAGAATGGCGCAGAGATGCCACGAGAAATAACGACAAAACAGCGAGTCGGATAAAAAGGCCGTGGTTTTGCATGGCTGACTAAGTGCTGTTTTGGATTGTTGATCTCAGCGCCACTAACACTTTTTACGTGTCATTTATTGAAGAATTCCATGCAACAAGGTTTCGTTGTTGGTAACAACCAGTTTTTGCACCGAATGATTTACCAATCTGAAAATGACATTTTAGTTGAATTTTATTTTGTATTTATTTTGTTGTTGACCATAGTTTGAAAAGTAAGCAAAATACAAAAGGAACTCATTCATAGCCATAGAAGACAGGCAGTGACGGAGCCATAATTCATACAGGAGATGTAGAGAGGAGAGGAAAGCAAACCGCAAACAGGGGCGGATCCAGGATTTTTTTTAGGAGGGGGTGCACTCGTCTCTTGCTCTACTTAAACACCAATAAACCACATAGTTTTTTTTTTGCAGAATACTAGTTGTATTAGAAAACCGCACGTCATCTCGGGGGGGTGCGCACCCCCTGCACCCTCCCCCTAGATCCGCCCCTGGCAAAGGCGGGTGTTCCTTGGCCTCCTTGGAGACAACTTGTTGTTACCCGCAGCCAATGAAAAAACAGCTACAACATCGCTGGCAGTGTAATTTTTCAATAAGAACACTGATAATAGGAACAATAATAATTATAATTATAAAAGTAAATTATGATTGTCATAAAAATTATCCCAGAATCCTTTGAGGTAATCTTTTTCAAAAGTCGAAATATCGCAACTTAAATCTATTTCACGTTGCTTGATCAGTCCCTGCAAACGTCTTCTTGTCTGTAACGTTTTCAATTTTTTCAAAAGCTTTATAGCTTTGACAATTTTATACGTAGAAGCCATGTCAGACCACAAGATAACATTTGCCATAAAATATCTTCTCATGTCACATCTAGGGTGTTGAGGTCATCATTCACGAGACCATTGCTGAATTAGGGTTTTTTGTAGATGTGACAAGATTTCATTATTGGGTTAAAATAAAATAGCATATTTGAGGTTTTCGTTGTGTGGAGCATTTAAAAATAACCAGTTGACGTCCAGCATATAAAAATTTTAGGGGGCAACGAACATGAGCGAAAAAGTCGGGAGACTAGACCAAAAGCAGGAAAAAAATGTTCTACAATTATGTTGGTTGAATTATGTTCTACCTAATAAAAAGGATCGCCTCTGGAATCGGGGCCATGAGACCTGGTCCCCCAGGCTACATTGCATCTTATATATCAAGCTGTAATTCAACCTCACTTCGACAACTGTAGTAGTGTTTGGGGTAATTTTACAAGATAAGCGGCAAAAATTGCAGAATAGAGCAGCCCGCGTTCTCACATTCTCAAGCTATGACGCTGATGCCGTCAATTGTTAGAAATTTTGGGGTGGAAAAATCTTGACCGCCAACGAAACATACCGTCATGGTACTCAAATGCCTACATGGGTTAGCTCCGGACTATTTAGCATCAAAATTCTCTCAGCGCAGTACAAGTTACAACCTAAGGGACTCCGAGAACAAACTTAAAGTTCGATTACCACGCACAAATTATTTCAAAAAGGTTTTAGTTATAGTGTGGCACTACACTATGCAATAGCCTTCTTTGCAAGGCATGGTGCACATCACTGTTCCCTCGAGTCGTTCAAACGCGTCATCAGTAAAGCTCTTAAAGGCACCGTATTCATGGAAAGCAGCTTTTTAAGATACTGTAGTTTAATGTTTAGTTTAATATAATCATAGTTGTGTAGTTATATTTTGAGATCTCTTCGTAACTAGCTGATGGATTACCCGTGCATGGTTAAATGATGTTTGTCTATCTATCTTCAGTTGCACTAAATAAGACTGTTAATTTTGGGGGGAAGAATTTGACTCAAGATTTCTTCGCAACCTAGTAATAACCAAATAAGGAAGTTTCAACACACCTCAAAAGAATCCCATCATGTCAAAGTAGACAGTAGCAACGGCCAACCCAGTCGCTCACGAAATCTGAGAATGTCCAATGGAGCGTTTTCACTCATGTGGCCAGTATTTATGCAAACGTATTGGAACAAAATAAAGGATTTACATAAGGAAAGAGTTCAAGTCCCACAGGAATTGTTTGGAACACCAACTTGGCCGCCGTTTTATTGTTTTGGAACACCAATATCGCCACCGCGACGTCATGTGAAAACACTCTACAGAGTTATTGGACTGGCCACAGTGGCTGTTAAAAGGTTAGATGGCGCTATCCTCCGAATAAATCACAATACAGCGGATAATTATTTAGGGAATTCGCTGGGCGTAGTTATCTAACTTTTGAACAACTGGGACCTGTGTCAGTCGACACCAGGGTCTCTCTTCTCCCCGTCCTTTGAGTGAGGTTGGTCTCTCTTTGCACGAAGTTTCCTCGACGCTTCTTTTGAGTGATGAAAAGATGGCAAATAAATAATCTGCCTTTCAAAAATATGTTCACATTACATCTGAAGTTTTTTCTTTCCACGTTTCTCAATATACGAGATGAAAAAAGTAAGGTAAAAAACAGTGTCGATGTAAGGCACCGATGGGATTCGAACCCATGACCTCCTGCTTACTAGACAGGCGCTCTAGCCAACTGAGCTACGGCGCCTCTCGGTTCACAGCCTCCGTATTTTTTACACATTCTCGATCTCAGAGTGAAGCTCTACGGACCCCCAGTATTACCACTGAAGATAGAGACAGGAATATCATATTCGAACATTTCAGAATCCCCACGAAATATTCTTATAAGCCTGTTTAGTAGCTGCTTGGAGAGCTGTGAATAGAAAAAAGGAATCTTTGAAGAAGTCTTTGAAGGCTTAATCTCTGGAAGCGATACGTTCGCATGTTTCAAGCTAGAAATTTCGAAAACATGACGGACTTCTTTTTCGAGATTTTCGAATCCACCAATGAAGTCATAATCGATTCCACAAGGATGACAAAGTTTGTCGAATGTTTGCCAGTGTTCGTTACGAAACTCGTCATTTTCATGGAGTCTTACAACGAAATTGACAAACTCTTCGAATGTTATGATCGATTTATAGCTTGTTTCCTCACCGCTCACGTATCTCGTAGGTGCGATGTCAGGTCCCCACAAAGTATAGAACGCTGGATCATAGTTGAAAAATTTATCAATGTAAGCTGACAGTATCCGTTCGAAAGGTTCTCGGACAAACAAGAACTTGAAATACAATTTCATCATTTGTTCAGATTCATTTTGGGGATAATCAACCAAAAACTGAAAGTTGCTTGGATCGTGAACCCAGACATCAGATTCCGAAGGATTGAGCTGCACCATGACTTTCTTCCACGGAGTACAGCCTACTTTTGGGATGTAACAGTAGAGGGTCTTGAACTTCTCGTTGACTATGATGTTAATTAGTTCTGCAGTATTAACTGTTTCGTTTATCCTTTTAGTTCTTTGGCAAAATTCCCTCAAACTTGCTTTCCTTTTCAAGTTCACAACTTCAATGCTGTCGGCACTACCGGGCTGGAAACCGAGAGAACAAAACGTTACTCATTTATGGTCTTAGCATATGTGATCGTTTCAGCGAGTTTTAGTTCTGTGGCAAGTTGTTCATTCTATAACCTGGAGAATTATAAAGAGAGCGAATCTAAAACCATAGGTAAAACCATAGGCAGACCACCCTCTGTTTGTGTTTTGATACTGAAATCTGAGTATCTGCAGTCTGTCGGCTTTACAGACGAAATACAGATGAATATTTTCCTTAAAAAAATTTGATTGGAAATGTTTCAATAGAAATTCAAACGAAATGTTCACTGAGTCATGAGTCTTGTTTTTTCGCCTTCTGCGTGCTGTTGAATAAAACTATTATTATTACCTATTAACGATCGCTAAAACATCCCTACAAACCCTCATAATATTTCAGTTACGCAACAACGATCACTCCTGAGCTTGGTCAGCTTGGGGTACCCGTGGTCTCAGTTACCTGCTCATCATACGAAGATCATTTTATTAACAACAAAGGAATAAAAAGACTGGCCTTCTGCTGCCCGCTTTCGTTGACTGCCTTGTCCGGAATTTATAAGAATTTCCGATTGTGTGAGAAATTTGAGATTCGCAATCAATCGTCCCAAGTTTGGCCGACTTCTGTAGCGACCTAAATATAAGGTTTAGTAGGTGATTAAGAATTAAGTAGTTGAATTAAAACACAACGGACCTGTTCAGCCTCTTTGGTTGCTGGTGTGCTGAAGTCCGTAAATAAACAAATAAATAAATAAATAAGCTACTTTAGTTATTGCAGCGTATTAACAGCTAGCAATATCTAAAATGAGGAGATGGGTTGGCTTGACTGTTTGGCGCCTACAGAACCAAGTAAATCAACCTCGTCCCCACGGTCGTCTCGTTTTCCAATATGCCATTGCGATATTGGAAAACGAGAAGAGCTTGGGGACGAGGTTGCCAAGTGAACGTAAGTCCATGATAAATAGATGTCTCTAGTTACCGTATTTCCTCGAATTATAGCCGTCCCTCGATTAATCCCTCCCCTTTTGACGGAAATATTCAGAGTAATCGCCTCCCTCGAATAATCACCCCTCCCCATCTCCCCTCGCTATCTTCTCGTCCTTTTATCCCTTCCCTGACAAGTTCAAGTGCAATGTGATCCAGCGTAACTGATCAGTGACGATTCAAGATATGAATCAAGGAACTAAATTTGGAACACTGAAAAAGCCCATGTTCAGTTTGTTTGATGTGGTTAGTTTTTTAGTTAATGGCAAAGAAAAGAAAAACAAAAATTTAGGGCACGACTTCCAGTGAGTAATATTTGAAATAATGGCCTCCCTCGAATAATGGCCTTCCCTCGAATAATCGTCCCCGGCTATTATTCGAAAAAATACGGTAGGTTCCACTACATTTTACTTTTGACCTAAATAAAATGTACCTCAACCATAATTATTTATAATTAGTCCGCGGAGTTTTTGAAAAAATAACTTAGCATTGGTTAGCTCGTCATGGTCCTCCACTAGATCAGGCGACAGTTGTAAAACTTCCTCAACTACACCAGTGCAATCGGACGGGCAGGAAATGATTCAGGGATAGCTGATTTCATCATCTAATGACTGGTGCTGTGTATCAGTGGTTCAAAATAAGTCTGATGGTGTGAAAACCGAGCGGCAAAGTTGTGAACGTAGATAATGACGCTATGACGAACGGAGGTGAACCGCCATAGTGTTGAACCGTGGACGCGGTTGAATTAATCTGAGATTACACCTTGGCAAGAAGAGTAGTCTTTGTCAGGATAATCAGGCTGTACTCTTTAAGAGGAGATATAATCTTTTTTGAAGGACACAAACCATTTTAGGATATAAAGAGAGAATGAGCCAAGAAGTGTTCTTAAAGTGTTTTTAAAGGCCTGCAACTTAGTGTGTTATAAGAGGTCATGTGTAATTTTTTTTATCTTTTCAGTCACAATTGGGCTCCTGCCAATTTACCTGCTCTTTCCAATTATTTAATGGTTTACTGAGAACATTTCTGATCTGCTTCTTTCCACTGCTATTTACAAAGCAGGAAATTTTAGGGATCCTTTAAATTTTAGGGAACCGGTCATGAAGAAATTTTACATTCTGTCTCGAGCTATGGAAATTACTCGACAATACAGTCGACTTCCGATAACTCGAACGAAAAAAGTTGGAGTTATCGGGAGTTCGAAGGAAATTAAGCAAAATGATGGGGAGCGAATGCAAGTATCATGCACATTTCACGGGGATGGACACTGAATTTGAACTGGAGTGACAAAAAAAGTGAAGACAAAGAATTGACACCTTTGTTTTGAAATAAATTCAGTGCTTCGGACTTCAGTACAGTGGTCCACTGTTTATTTCCCACTTACCTACTCACAACAACTTCTTGATGCTCTCTCCTCCACAGAGTACTCTTGTTTTTGTGGGGAGGCTGGGGAGAAAGAAAGAGAGCGCGCGGGGCACGATAGGAAGGATGAAAACTTCCCCGCGCGCTTTCTATTTTTTCGATTATTGCTATTTTCTCAGGGATACCCAGCGGAAAACTCTGCGGAGGAGAGAGTTCTTGCTGGAAAAAAGCATTTTTATTTACAATTCAACAGAGTACGGGGGTGTGTTCGAGCAACTCGCTCGCTACACGATGAGGTACATACAGTTGACTCCCGATTACTCGAACCCTCGCTAACTCGAACCTCCCGCTTACTGATTTCCCCTAGATTTCCTTTATAATTTTGCTGTAATTTTACGCTTGGTAACACCAACCCTCGATAACTCAAAAACCTCCCGCCAACTCGAAGTAATTTTTGTTTTCCTTCAGATTATTTAATTTTCTATATAATTTTACCCTCGATAACGGACCGTCTAACTCGAACCCTGCTTTAAGCACTTGAGTCGCTTAATTTGAAAGTGCTACTGAAACGAAAAATCGAAGTGGCTAGCTCTTTCGCACTTAACTCGTTTTACCAATCTTAGAATAACATTCTTGTTGTGAAGTGTTTTGAAAGTTATTTTTAAGACGGATCTATCTTATCTTTTAAGTTTAGTTTTTGTTTCATTAAGTCTTGTTTTTGTCCACGTACTGTTTTCCTGTTTTGACCTTTTGTTTTTACTTGTACTCGAATTTATACTCAGCTCACGAATTTACTTATTGCCATATTAGGAATGTGATTCGCTTGGAATTGTCAGATGTTAGTTTTTTTTTACAGGTGGTCGTGTTTGTGGTGTTAGCCTGACCTTTGTTATTTGGTACTTATCAGTTGCGGCTGTGCGTAGGCTAGTCTATTCCCTAACAATAGCAAACCTGTTGCATTGTTAGCGATAAGATATACAATAGAAACTCTTCCGGTCAGCTAACCCAAACACGTCCAGATTTGGCTATTTAAACCGCTACTATACTTGAACTAGTAAGTAGGAGAAGTAGGAAGTAAGTTAGTGAAAAAGTGGAAGAGTTAGAAGATTAAAAGGAATAAAGGCAAGATGTAAATCAGATTCCTGGTGCTTCTTGTCGAGCAGATATTTATAGATATTTATATTTATAGGTTTTGGCGTCTCAAGTATAAACTGAGACGGGCACAAGACGCTGGTAATGTCATTATGCGTCTAGACGAACTTTCTTTCGAAAGACGTGTTGAATGACGCACTACGACAGGTAGTCTGGACGCATAATGCATCTTGTGCTGGTACTAGAGACGCATAACCAGACGAACTACAAAATGTTTGCCCAAGAAATATAATGCGTCCTTAGTATAAAAACGGCTAAGAAATATCTTGATCCATCACCTCTCACACTATCTGGTATCTGGTGCAAATACACAGAATACAGTGCTAACTTACCATTTATCTGAATAGATAATACATTGCCTTCCCACCAGTCAGTGAGAATTACAGAATGGCGCAGAGATGCCACGAGAAATAACGACAAAACAGCGAGTCGGATAAAAAGGCCGTGGTTTTGCATGGCTGACTAAGTGCTGTTTTGGATTGTTGATCTCAGCGCCACTAATACTTTTTACGTGTCATTTATTGAAGAATTCCATGCAACAAGGTTTCGTTGTTGGTAACAACCACTTTTTGCACCGAATGATTTACCAATCTGAAAATGACATTTTAGTTGAATTTTATTTGGTATTTATTTTATTGCTGACTATAATTTGAAAAGTAAGCAAAATACAAAAGGAACTCATTCATAGCCATAGAAGACAGGCAGTGATGGAGCCATAATTCATACAGGAGATGTGGAGAGGAGAGGAAAGCAAACCGCAAAGGCGGGTGTTCCTTGGCCTCCTTGGAGACAACTTGTTGTTACCCGCAGCCAATGAAAAAACCAGCTACAACATCGCTGGCGGTGTAATTTTTCAATAAGAACGCTGATAATAGGAACAATAGTGATTATAATTATAAAAGTAAATTATGATTGTCATAAAAATTATCCCAGAATCCTTTGAGGCAATCTTTTTCAAAAGTCGAAATATCGCAACTTAAGTCTACTGATTTCACGTTGCCTGATCAGTCCCTGCAAAAGTCTTCTTGCGTTAACGTTTTCAGTTTTTTGAAAAGCTTTATAACTTTGACAATTTTATACGTAGAAGCCATGTCAGACCACAACAAGATAACATCATCTAGGGTGTTGAGGTCATCATTCACGAGACCATTGCTGAATTAGGGTTTTTTGTAGCTGTGACAAGATTTTATTATTGGGTTAAAATAAAACAGCATATTTGAGGTTTTGGTTGTGTGGAGCATTTAAAAATAACCAGTTGACGACCGGCATTTAAAATTTAAGGGGGCAATGAACATGAGCGAAAAAGTCGGGAGACTAGGCGGAAAGCAGGAAAAAAATGTTCTACAATTATGTTGGTTGAATTTTGTTCTACATGTTCTACCTAATAAAAAGGATCGCCTCTGGAATCGGGACCATGAGACCTGGTCCCCCAGGCTACATTGCATCTTATATATCAAGCAGTAATTCAACCTCACTTTGACTACTGTAGTAGTGTTTGGGGTAATTTTACAAGATAAGCAGCAAAAATGTCAGAATAGAGCAGCCCGTGTTCTCACATTCTCAAGCTATGACGCTGATGCCGTCATTTGTTAGAAATTTTGGGGTGGAAAAATCTTGACCGCCAACGAAACATACCGTCATGGTTCTCAAATGCCTACATGGGTTAGCTCCGGACTATTTAGCATCAACATTCTCTCAGTGTAGTACAAGTTACAACCTAAGGGACTCCGAGAACAAACTTAATGTTCGATTACCACCCACAAATTATTTCAAAAAGGTTTTAGTTATGGTGTGGCACTACACTATGCAATATCGCCTTCCTTGCGAGGCGAGGTGCGCATGAGGTTCCCTCGAGTGGTTCAAACGCGCCATCAGTAAAGCTCTTAAAGGCACGGTATTCACGGAAAGCAGCTTTTTAACATACTGTAGTTTAATGTTTAGTTTAATATAATCATAGTTGTGTAGTTATATTTTGAGATCTCTTTGTAAATAGCTGATGAATTGCCCGTGCATGGTTAAATGATGTTTATCTATCTATCTTCAGTTCCACTATATAGGACTGTTAATTTTTGGGGGAAGAATTTGAAGACAGCTTTCTTCGCAACCTCGTAACAACCAAATAAGGAAGCTTCAGCCCGCCTCAAAAGCCGTCCCATGATGTTTAGGTAGACGGTAGCAACGGCCGACCCAGTCTCTCACGAAGTCTGAGGATGTCCAATGGAGCGTTTTCACTCACGTGGCCAGTATTTATGCAAACTTATTGGAACAAAATAAAGGATTTACATAAGGAAAGAGTTCAACTCCCATAGGACTTGTTTGGAACACCAAATTGGCCACCGCGACGTCATGTGAAAACGCTCTACAGAGTTATTGGACTGGCCCCAGTGGTTGTTAAAACGTTAGATGGCGCTATCCTCCGGATAAATCACAATACAGCGGATAATTATTTAGGGAATCCACTGGGCGTAGGTATCTAACTTTTGAACAACTAGGGCCTGTGTCAGTCGACACCAGGGTCTGTCTTCTTCCCGTCCTTGAGCAAGGTTGGTCTCTCTTTGCACGAAGTTTCCTCGACGCTTATTTTGAATGATGAAAAGATGGCAAATACATAATCTGCCTTTCAAAAATATGTTCACATTACATCTGAAGTTTTTTCGTTCCACGTTTCTCAATATACGAGATGAAAAAAGTAAGGTAAAAAAACAGTGTCTATATAAGGCACCGATGGGATTCGAACCCATGACCTCCTGTTTACTAGACAGGCGCTCTAACCAACTGAACTACGGCGCCTCTCGCTTCACAGATTGTGCACGTTTTAGACATCATTGATCTCGGAGTGAAATTCTACGGACCGTAGAATTACCACTGAAGATAGACACAGGAATATCATATTCCAACATTTCAGAATCCCCACGAAATATTCTTTTAAGCCTATTTAGTAGCTGCTTGGAGAGTTGTGAGTAGAAAAAAGGAATCTTTGAAGAAGTCTTTGAAGTTTTAATCTCTGTTATGTTCGCCGCTTGTTTCAAGCCAGAAATTTCCAAAATATGACGAACTTCTTTTTCGAGATTTCAAATCCACCAATGAAGTCGTAATCGATTGCACAAGGATGACAAAGTTCGTCGAATGTTTGCCAGTGTTCGTTACGAAACTCGTCAGTTTCATGGAGTCTTACAACGAAATTGACCGACTCTTCTTTAGTATTAACTGTTTCGTTTATCCTTTTAGTCCTTTTGCAAAAGTATGAGGGTATATCTATGACAAAATCCAATAACCTAAAAGTGAAAAGAGTTAAGTCAAATCTGAAATATACCGAGTCAAAGTTGGTAAAAAAAAAGAGCACTGTAAAAGGAAGAAATACTAAAAAAGCCACTATCATATTAGGTATCACGCAGAAAAAAGCATCACGCTAAAAGGCAACACGCAAAGAGGCATCACGCAAAGAGGCAACACGCAAAAAGCAACACGCAAAGAGGCATCACGCAAAGAGCCAACACGCAATAAGGCATAACGCAAAGAGACAACACGCAAAAAGGCATAACGCAAAAAGGCAACACGCAAAGAGCCAACACGCAAAAATGCAGTACGCAAGGAGGCATAACGCAAAAGGGCAACACACAAAAAGGCATCGCAAAAAAGGCAATTTGCAAAAAAGGGCATCACGTGAGAAGTTTACTTAGGATCCAGCTGAATCTTAAACAGTATTATTTAGTACATACTGCAAGCAAACCGAAATGGTATTCGAACGAGACCTTCCATCTTACTCACCTCGTGAGGTGAGTAAAATGGAAGTTTTAGCGAGTTTAGTTCTGTGGGAAGTTGTTCATTCTATAACCTGGAGAATTATAAAGAGAGCGAAACTAAAATCATAGGCAGACCACCCTCTGTTTGTGTTTTGATACTGAAATATGAGTATCAATTTGTCGGCTTTACAGACGAAATACAGATAAACATTTTCTTTAAAAAAATTTGACTGTAAATGTTTCAATGAAAGCTTAAACGAAATGTTAACTGAGTCTTGTGTCTTGTTTTTTCGCCTTCTGCGTGCTGTTGAATTAATTATTTGACCGTTCCCTGAATATGTGTACAGCCGCCCGACTCCACTGAAACAAAATCGGGAAGAGAGACTCTCTTCGGTCCCCGATTCGGTTTGAGAACATGGGCGACTTTACACAGGTTACCTGTTAACGACGGGCGGCTTTACACAGGCTACCTATTAATGATGGGCGGCTGTACACAGGTTACATATTAACGATGGCCGGCTTTACACAGGTTACCTATTAACAATGGGCGGCTTTACACAGGTTACCTATTAACGATGGTCGGCTGTACACAGGTTACCTATTAACGATCGCTAAAATATCCATACAAACCTTTATAATATTTCTAATACGCAACAACGATCACTCCTGAGCTTGGTCAGCTTGGGGTATCGGTGGTCTCAGTTACATACTGAGCATTTGAAGATCATTTTAATAACAACAAACGAATAAAAAGACTGGCCTTTTGCTGCCCGGTTTTGTTGACTGCGTCAACCGGAATTTAAGATCTTCCTACTGTGAGAGAAGTTTGAGATTCGCAATCAATCGGCCCAAGTTTGGCCGAATTCTGTTGCGACCTAAATATATGGTTTAGTAGGTGAGTAAGAATTAAGTAGTTGAATTAAAACACAACGGACCTGTTTGGTTGCTGGTGTGCTGAAGTCTGTAAATAGATAGATAAATTAATACATAAGCTACTTTAGTTATTGCAGCGTATCAACAGTTAGCAATATAAAAAAAGAAGAGGTAAATGGATTGACTGTTTGGCGCCTACAGAACCAAGTAAATCAACCTCGTCCCCACGGTCGTCTAGTTTTTCAATATTCCACCGCCATATTGGAAAACGAGAAGAGCTTGGGGTCGAGGTTGCCAAGTGAACTTAAGTCCATGATAAATAGATGTCTCTGGTTACAGTATTTCCTGGAATAATTAGCCGTCCCTCGATTAATCGCCCCCCTTTGACGGAAATATTCAGAGTAATCGCCTTCCTCGAATAATCGCGCCTTCCCCATCTTCTCTCGCTATCTTCTCGTCCTTTTATCCCCTTCCTGTCAAGTTGAATTGCAATGTTAATTTTTTGGGGAAGAATTTGACCTAGACTTTCTTCGTAGCCTCGTAATAACCAAATAAGGAAGCTTCAGTCCGCCTCAAAAGAATCCCATGATGTCAAGGTAGACAATAGCAACGGCCGACCCAGTCTCTCATGAAATCTGAGAATGTCCAATGGAGCGTTTTCACTCACGTGACCAGGATCTAAGCAAACTTATTGGAACAAAATAAAGGATTTACATAAGGAAAGAGTTCAACTCCCATAGGACTTGTTTGGAACACCAAATTGGCCACCGCGACGTCATGTGAAAACGCTCTACAGAGTTATTGGACTGGCCCCAGTGGTTGTTAAAACGTTAGATGGCGCTATCCTCCGGATAAATCACAATACAGCGGATAATTATTTAGGGAATCCACTGGGCGTAGGTATCTAACTTTTGAACAACTAGGGCCTGTGTCAGTCGACACCAGGGTCTGTCTTCTTCCCGTCCTTGAGCAAGGTTGGTCTCTCTTTGCACGAAGTTTCCTCGACGCTTATTTTGAATGATGAAAAGATGGCAAATACATAATCTGCCTTTCAAAAATATGTTCACATTACATCTGAAGTTTTTTCGTTCCACGTTTCTCAATATACGAGATGAAAAAAATAAGGTAAAAAAACAGTGTCTATATAAGGCACCGATGGGATTCGAACCCATGACCGCCTGTTTACTAGACAGGCGCTCTAACCAACTGAACTACGGCGCCTCTCGCTTCACAGTTTGTGCACGTTTTAGACATCATTGATCTCGGAGTGAAACTCTACGGACCGTAGAATTACCACTGAAGATAGACACAGGAATATCATATTCGAACATTTCAGAATCCCCACGAAATATTCTTTTAAGCCTATTTAGTAGCTGCTTGGAGAGTTGTGAGTAGAAAAAAGGAATCTTTGAAGAAGTCTTTGAAGTTTTAATCTCTGTTATGTTCGCCGCTTGTTTCAAGCCAGAAATTTCCAAAATATGACGAACTTCTTTTTCGAGATTTTCAAATCCACCAATGAAGTCGTAATCGATTGCACAAGGATGACAAAGTTCGTCGAATGTTTGCCATTGTTCGTTACGAAACTCGTCAGTTTCATGGAGTCTTACAACGAAATTGACCGACTCTTCTTTAGTATTAACTGTTTCGTTTATCCTTTTAGTCCTTTTGCAAAAGTATGAGGGTATATCTATGACAAAATCCAATAACCTAAAAGTGAAAAGAGTTAAGTCAAATCTGAAATATACCGAGTCAAAGTTGGTAAAAAAAAAGAGCACTGTAAAAGGAAGAAATACTAAAAAAGCCACTATCATATTAGGTATCACGCAGAAAAAAGCATCACGCTAAAAGGCAACACGCAAAGAGGCATCACGCAAAGAGGCAACACGCAAAAAGGCAACACGCAAAGAGGCATCACGCAAAGAGCCAACACGCAACAAGGCATAACGCAAAGAGACAACACGCAAAAAGGCATAACGCAAAAAGGCAACACGCAAAGAGCCAACACGCAAAAAGGCATAACGCAAAAAGGCAGTACGCAAAGAGGCATAACGCAAAAGGGCAACACACAAAAAGGCATCGCAAAAAAGGCAATTTGCAAAAAGGGCATCACGTGAGAAGTTTACTTAGGATCCAGCTGAATCTTAAACAGTATTATTTAGTACATACTGCAAGCAAACCGAAATGGTATTCGAACGAGACCTTCCATCTTACTCACCTCGTGAGGTGAGTAAAATGGAAGTTTTAGCGAGTTTTAGTTCTGTGGGAAGTTGTTCATTCTATAACCTGGAGAATTATAAAGAGAGCGAAACTAAAATCATAGGCAGACCACCCTCTGTTTGTGTTTTGATACTGAAATATGAGTATCAATTTGTCGGCTTTACAGACGAAATACAAATGAACATTTTCCTTAAAAAAATTTGATTGTAAATGTTTCAATGAAAGCTTAAACGAAATGTTAACTGAGTCTTGTGTCTTGTTTTTTCGCCTTCTGCGTGCTGTTGAATAGCCTGCGTAGCAAGTGTTTCCGTTTGGTTTCGGGGCAAAGAAATACCGAGGAAGGGGACTTTCGGTTTTGACCGCGCGAGAAATGAAACGAGAACCAAAAAGTGAAGGAGGGGGGAGGGGGAGGGGAAGGAAGGAAACGCTTGCAGACAAACCCTTCGATTTTGAAAACCTGCGTTCGCCAGCGAACGCAGCGCCTGATTTGCTCGGCTAGTCGAACAATGTTGACATGTGTCGATCAAAGGTTTGTTTCATACTGAGAGGTCATGTTTGGTACGTGACACGCATATTAATTTTCTGTGGTTATTGTTTATTCTGGTCGGCAAGATTTTCCCCCCAATGCAAGAGCATTTTATTTAACTTCTTTTGAAACACAAAGCTCTTCTTGCGACTTTATAAGTGTTTCAGGTCGTTTTATTTGTCTCCTGGATCTGAATAACTAAAAGCGATTTTCTTTTGTCAGGGAATGCGATGGTTTCCTGCAATGTTTTGTTATCCTGGGCCCAGCTCGTTAGTGTTTTTTTTTTTTTTGCGGGATGTTAAATTCTCTCGGATAGTGATTTACAGATACAAATTTTGAAGAAAGGATTGCACCTTAAACTGAAGCTACATCAACTAGGAAGACCTGCATTGTGACTCAGTCAAAATTTCTGCTTGGTTCTCCACGCGAACTTTCAGCTGCCGGGTTAGCTTTGTTCTAGGATGCTTTTACAGGAGCACTCTAGTTGTCCACGAAATATTCTTTTAAGCCTATTTAGTAGCTGCTTGGAGAGTTGTGAGTAGAAAAAAGGAATCTTTGAAGAAGTCTTTAAAGTTTTAATCTCTGTTATGTTCGCCGCTTGTTTCAAGCCAGAAATTTCCAAAATATGACGAACTTCTTTTTCGAGATTTTCAAATCCACCAATGAAGTCGTAATCGATTGCACAAGGATGACAAAGTTCGTCGAATGTTTGCCATTGTTCGTTACGAAACTCGTCAGTTTCATGGAGTCTTACAGCGAAATTGACCGACCCTTCTTTAGTATTAACTGTTTCGTTTATCCTTTTAGTCCTTTTGCAAAAGTATGAGGGTATATCAAATTTAATAACCTAAAAGTGAAAAGAGTTAAGTCAAATCTGAAGTATTCCGAGTCAAAGTTGGTAAAAAAAGACCACGGTAAAGCGACGAAATACTAAAAAACCCACTATCATATTAGGTGTCACGCAGAAAAAGGCATCACGCTAAAAAGCAACACATAAAGAGGCATCACGCAATGACAACACGCAAAAAGGCATCACGCAAAGAGGCAACACGCAAAAAGGCATCACGCAAAGAGGCAACACGCAAAAAGGCATCACGCAATGAGCCAACACGCAAAAAGGCATGACGCAAAGAGCCAACACGCAAAAAAAGCATCACGCAAAGAGGCATCACGCACAGAGGCAACACGCAAAAAAGGCAATTTGCAAAACGGGCATCACGTGAGAAGTTTACTTAGGATCCAGGCCTGGATCTTAAACAGTATTAGCGGAGCTC